CGGAGGGGACTTTTGCACCTGTCCCACATGACTGAGTACTGTCCCTCTTAAAGACAGTAAGAGTGGACACGACCTGAGTTTCTTACTGGTGTCCTAACCCCCAAGTACCTGTGCTCCGCTCTTATCTGAGCCAATGCCCTGACCATTACCATATCCAACAATTGGACTTGACATTTCCAAGGCTGCTATGAGCGGGAAGATCAATGGGAATTACACTGAGCATAATCGATGATGGGGTGATGTTTTTGGTGGCAGTAGTGGCCGGTCAAAGCCAGACGAGGGCTAATTTTAGAGCAACCGTGATAGACAGCTCTCCCCACGGGACGGCTGAGCGCGCAGAGAGAACCTATCAAAGGGGATGCCTGCCCGCTGTTGCCATGGTAATCATAATTCCGCTTGGAAATCCTCTAATTAGGAGCAAGTGGCGTGACGGAGGAGAGGGAAAGAAAGTTGGGATCGTGAATGCAGCTTGAGATGGTTTATTGTTAGTAGTAAGAGGAATCGAAGCTGAGGAAGGAGGAAGACTGCTTTGGTTCCACAGAGTCTGGCTGCTACTGACTAATCGCTGGAAAATGTCATAAAATGCACAAAAATCAATATTTCGTCTGCCATGTTTTTATGGTACTGTCATGGCGGAATCCTGAGATGACAAGTCTAATCTGGCCAGTGCTAAATATAGACCCACACGGCTGTGATGGCAGGCTACGCAGTGGAAGTAGATTTGTAAATGATATTATTAGTGAGAGGAACTGTGATAGTTTTAGTCTGGCTGATGCTTTGGGATAAAACTGAAACATTACCCAGGGATCAGCTTTACTGATAAAAGAATTAAAGGAAATATATTATGCATAATTCTTGGTCCACTAAAAAAGAAAATTAGACTATTTACTTTGTTTTTTTAAGTTTTAGAATAGGACAATATTATCTTTGGTAGAAAAAATATGGTGAACCAAGTGTGAAGAGTAAAAAATGCTATCCCTGTAACTCCCTATGCTGCCACCAGAGGGAGAAGTAAAATTTGACCAACTTATTTCAACCCAACAGAGATATGGTACAAATGTATTTATTGTGTGATGTGGTTTGGAGATTAGACACTAGCCAAAGATTAATTAGCTCAATCTGATTTTTTTACTATAGTTTAATGTAAGGGGTCTATTTCATACTGGTTTAACTGGTTTGGACCAAGTTGGGAACTAAACCCTAGTTGGACTCTTGTAATATTGGTGAAGTCTTTTTTTCAACCCCCTCAAATATTAAATTCTGGGTGTTATCTTCATCAAGCAGCTCCAGCACTAATGATGGTGGCATGCTGTGTTCTTATCTGACCCAAATACTCTCACAATCATATCTCAAACTGATCTACAGCATTTTCAGACTGCATTATGTTTCCCCAGCATCTACTCTTAAGCAATGTATGCATTTATTATTTCCCACCAAGTATATCAAGATCTTTTTGAATTATACAATTTGTATTTCTATGTGAAATATATTGTAGGTATTGTGCATATGTTTTTGTCTATAGACCATATTATATTGTGCTCTTAATGAAGATGAAAAATAATGATAATCATTTCTCATTAAGTATATCAGTTTACTGTGTTTCTTCATCATTACTCTCATCAGTATGTTATGGGGAATTCCCAGTAAGCACAGAGGACCAGACAAAACCTCTGTCAGATCTTGTTTCAATCAATTAATCAACTTTTATTTATAGAGTGCCTTTCCTAAATAAGACACCACAAAGCCCCTCACAACAAGCATAAATTATAAACATTAAAATCGACATGAATATTAAAAAATACAATTAAAACATATGATCAAAAACAAACATCAAATGAAATATTAAAAACAGAAACCAAAAAAATCACAATAAAAAAAAAAAAATTTAAAACATAAAATGGGGTGAGTGGCTCAGTTGGTAGAGAATTGGCCTTAGAGTCTGAAGGTCATGGGTTCGAGCCCACCTCAAGACCTACTTCACGACTCCCACTGATGTCTGCTGTCATTGTGTCCAAGACACTTCCCACTTTGCCTGAAGCCCCTGCTGGATAATCAAGGCTCCTGTGGACTCACCACCTGCAGGAGGATCAGTGAGGGGCTGGTGCTATGTGAACTGGGTGCAGCTCTGAACCCAGTTCACATAGCACTGAACCCCCCCCCAGAAATGGATTAAGGGGAAGAAAATGAATGGATGGATGGATGGAAGACATTAAAATTACTCATGAGATTAAAATCATAAATAGTGACAGTGAATTAAAAAGAGTAAAGATACACATCTTTCAGTTGTTTCTAGGCAAAAAGAAGTAGTACTTGAAAAGGTAAGTTAACCCTGCTCCCATCTATGTGTGGAGTGAGAGACAAAATGCCTAAAAAACAACAAATTGTAAAGCGCTTTGTGACTCCGGTCTGGAAAGGCACTACATAAGTAAAGGTGACTTACTTACTTAATGTCTGACAAGTGTGGAGTGTTCCCCCATGCATCGGCTGCCTGCTGACACTGCTGATTGCTGACCCCCTCCTCCCTCCCGAGTGAGGAGCTCGGGAGTGGAGGCATCATCGTTCAAGACAAAGACATGTGTTGTATATTCTGCTGTACTATTTCAACTGTGGGCTGAGAGTGTGCAGTGATCCGGAGAGTAAACCCCTGAGCAGAGTGTGTTGTACTTATGTACTTTCATTTATTATATACCTAAAGATCATAGAGTATAATCTTGCTGAAAAATGTTCCCAGAGAATTTAACAGTAAGATGAATAATTACTGAATTTTTCACCATCCATTCACTTACTCGATACATTCATACCTATTGTGCATGTTTAGTGGTAAGGGAAACCGGAACACCTGGAGGAAACCTACGCAGGCACAGGGAGAACATGCAAACTCCACTCAGAAAGGCCCTGTTCTGACCGGATCCAAGTGTACACCATGTTCCTATAGTCTGCTGGTGGACCACATGTGTAAAGCAGAGACCAATATATTAGTCAGATCTATGGATCTAAAGTACATTGATACTTAAATCAATCTTTATTTGTAGAGGACTTTTCATACAAGAGCCTTCTAAGTATGGACATTGAAACTGTAAATGATGTAATATTTCACTTATTGATTGTGTACATTTGTTCCTCCCAAATAAACACACGCACGGCTCCAGAGGATTCTAAAACATTGGGAGATTCTAAAACAGCTGCTTTAAGCTGCTACTTTTTTTTTTTTTTGAGTTTGGCTGTTGTCCAGAGTTTATTGATTTATTATTTTGACTCCTTCAAGTTTTAGTAGCCCCAGGATACTCGTTTATTGTCAAAATAGATGAAAAAGGATAGAATGGGTACAGAAGCTAACGGTTATCATCATTAAATCCTGTTGTGACCATTTCAAACAGTCGTCTCTTGGCTAAATTACAACATGAAAAACCTGCAGCTTATGTTCAGGTGCAGCCTATATGTGGACAAAATAGATCTTGTTTACAGGTGCGCCTTGTAGTCCAGAAAGTACGGTAAAAAATATTGAAAGGTCTAAAATAAATTCCAAAAATGGAATCAATAATCTACAGTGAAATAGTACCTATATACATCAAAAATATGCATGGGTTTCATTTGCTTATCCAGGCTTTCCTTTCTCTTCAAATGAAAATCACACTTTAGCAGCAACCCCTATTTCATCTCTGTCAAATTATTTTATATTAAAAAAGGGATGAATAATTGATTTCTCCATTAGCCACATGTGACATCCAGCATAGTTAATAAAGTGCTGTCTAAAAATGGCCCATAGACGCACCCCTCTCGTGTCATTCATCAAAGGGGCCCCGGCAGTCCATTCATCAGTGGCACCGCGTCTGTCGGAGAGAGAGCATCAAACAGGTGAGACTTCCGCTGTATTCGCACGACAGCCACGGAATCTGTGATCAGCCGATGCGTTTGTGCTGTAACCGCGGTGAAATAGGGTTTTTTCCATACTTGTTTTGTGTCTGGGGAGAATAGGTTGCGTTCGTGTGACATCACAATGTCCCAAATATCCTTTAGTTTCACATTGTGTTGGAGGGAGGCTGAAAAATCGGTCCTGGTAACTATAGTAACCATCAAAAGTTAGGTTTGTGTCTTGGTTTAGTGCGGATTTCTCTGTAATCGCAAAAAACAGTCACCAAGCGAGTTGTGTGATCTTGTATTTTTTGATTTAAATACTATCTTATTAGTATTTAATTCTTTACTAAATCTAATTTAAAAATCCCAAATGTTCTTTCTCTACAGTTAAATATATCCAATCCCCAGACACTCGTTCCTTCAGATTGTCCATAGAAAATGTTGACAGACTTTGAACAAATATTGTTCCTACTTATAATTAGAGTAAACCAGAGTGACTCCAGCCATCTGTACAAACGCCAAGGCCTTTTCGGATTTGGCTTGAATTTTTTTATTGAGTTTTATAGGAGTTTTAATGTATGTAAGTGCAATAAACAGTGTGAACTGTTTTAGCAGCATATAGTGGAAAATGCTTACAGGAATAGAATTCAACGCAATTTGTTTATGTATAGCCCTAAATCACAAGAGCAGTCGTCTCGGTGGACTTTACAAAGATTCATTGATTCACCAACAACAGATCTGATAATCAAACCGTTCGAACTCAGGAAATAGTAACAATCACGTAGGAGCCTTTGGTCCATACTATCTATGGACCAATGCCTCCTATGTGATTGGTTATCAAGAGTAACAATGTCCATAAATGCTGATAAATGTTTTTAAATGTTCTGGATCCTCATAGTCCTCAGACCCTTCTGCATCTGCAAGGAACAACTCAAAGAAAACCCAGTGAGAAAAAAGTGAGAAACCTCGGGGAGACCAACATTGAGAGGGATCTGCCCCCACAGGCAGACAGACTTTAGATCCAGGACTCAGGCTGTAGAACGAGGACTCAGGGTCTGCGGATGCTCTGCAGGACTGAAGTGACAGTCAACTTTGCATACATCATCCTCCTATTTACCTTCTTTGTCCCTTTTGTCCACATGAACTCATGACAGCCTGTTTAGCTGTTTAGCCAGCTTAGCGTCCTCCGCAGAAGAGAATCTCACAATGTCCCCAAGTCCTCTCTCCGAAAGCAGCACAAAAGGCCAAGTGGTGATCGTGGCCTCCATTAGCGCGCTATTAAATCCACTGGCCTCACCTCTGCTCTCCAGTGCGCTTCTTATCTCTGCCACGCTCATTTGACTTCCTGCAAAACAACAAGTTAAAAGCATCTTCAGCAAGATTAGGTTATGCTTATTAACCTCTGTTATGGTTTCCTTGAGGTTGACGCGCAACAGTCTGGCCGAATGTTTTGTGCATCAGTGTCCCAGGTCGACTCCAGGCGTGCAGTCCCAGTGCACAGTGTTCTGGCTACTGCACAAAACAAAACAATAAAAGAATGACACATATAAGTGTCTTGTAATACATACTGTAAATGTCAACATATAAAACCTGTTAGACCAAAGAGTGGGTATTACACAGCAAATAATATAAAATAATGATAATCTTAATTTCGAGTACATTCAGGTCTTAAAACAAGATTTGCCAATGGGACGAAGCCATTTAGTCTTATTTGTGTTGCTGTATTTTCTCATTCCAAGAGACATTTCTTGCATCTTTTTGAAACAAGACATTGGCAAATCTTGTTTGAAGGCAGTCAGAATGTGCTCAAACACTGAATCCATAACCATCACACACGTCCACAACAAACTAAAATACTTTTCAACACAATATTCTCACTTCATCAGTAGTAGCCCGGTAGCTTAGATTCTCTCAAACCCCTGCACATCATAACAGTACAGTACTACATATCTGATATTTACTGTTATCAGTAGTACTGTATTATTTCATATCTGATAATTCTGCCTTTCACCATCACTTTACCTGTTGATATTATTTCTGATGTTTATTCTGCTCATATTCATATTCTCTGCTGCTAATGTATAATATAGACATCTGTAAATACTCCGAACCAAGTGCAATTATAGCCCAGAGTTTCTTATTTTATTTTATCTTAAATTTATTGTCTATTATCTTAAATAATAGACTTTGATGTGTGCAATCTGAGTGCTCTTATTTCCTTTCTCTGCTGTAATGTGCGCAACGATGACACTGAAATTTCTCCACTGTGAGACTAATAAAGGTTTATCTTATCTTATCTTATCTTAAACAAGTTCTCTAAGATCTCTGGGCACACCCTGTTGTTTATAAACACACTTTAGCACAGGCGCGTCACACACCGAGACCGCAGAGTCACCTCAGACCAAACACACACACAGACAGACACAGACAGAGAGACATAGACACACAGACACACACACACACACATGCGGATGGATGGATGGACGGACGGACGGACAGACAGACAGACAGACAGACACTCACACACAGATAGACACACGTGGATGGATAGACAGACAGATAGGCACACACCTACACGCACCTACTGACAGACAGACTCATACACACACACACTTGCACGCACGCACACACACACACACACACACACACACACTACAGGTCCATCTCTTTAAAGTCAGTCCGATTCTTTCCTTCTGCCATTTGTCCCTAAACATTGCCTTGTGCACCTGTCCTATGTGTGTGTCCTGTTTCATGTGTGTGTGTCTCTATATGTCTCTCCTCTGTGATGTCACCGGCACTTTAAGCTACGAGCATTTTGACAGCGCTGGAAACAAATCCTACCAACTTCTTGTGTGGCATTTAATAAAAGATTCTGAAGTTTGAGATCGGAGCTGCTAATCTCACCCAGACTGGCACGAGCACACACAGACACAGAATTACACGTTTGGGACAGAATCATTTACATTTTGATTCTATTGTAATCAGTAACATTACAATTTGCTTGTATTGTGTATCTTGCAAAGATGATTATGAAAATATTAGGATAAGATAACCTTTCTTGGACCCTCAGAGAAATGTCAGTGTTGTTGTTTCAGTACAGAAGAATAAACAGAGATACAGATAGATATATGACATAGATATTAAACATAAAATAATCTATTGTGCACGTTTTAAATGAATTGGGAGACAATGTGCTTATAGACCCAAACATTGTCTTTCCTCACTTTGTGCCACTGAGAAGATTGAGATTCATTTGAGTCATGACCTCGTTCCAAGAAAATACAAAGCAATTCTGACTTTCTGGTTTAAATGGGCTATTTTTCAGCTGCAGGATGACTATTGAGTAAATCAGAACCGTTGCACAAAAGGCCAGAATCTAAGAATTGTTCACATCATTAATACGATTCACTTCTATAAAATGTATTTTTGTATAGCCCTAAATCAAAACAGAAGTAATCTCAAAAGACTCTCAACAACAGATCAGAGAATCAAAAACTATAGGAGGCACTGGTCCATAGGCGGCAGGATGACCATTGTCCATAAAAGTTAACGAGAGAAACTCATACAGAGATTATACTTTAAACCAAAGAGTTTTTTTTAGATACAAAGAGGACATTTTACATTTATTTCAATCTGAAACGGATAAAGCTTGAGTATGTCGCCAGAGGAGATCCGTGTAGAGATTGGTTTTCCTGACTATTTCATCATTAAAATGAGACCATTACATTAAATGCAATATATTTGATTGTTGCGGCGTCATAAAACCACATCTTCCAGCGCACATGTGTGTTTGAGTTTATAGAGCATTTAACAATTCCTCCGGTAAGAGTTTACGATTATTGACAAAAACATGATTAGTTGCTCCTGATGAACAAACACTAAGGACCTGGGTACTCCATCAGCACACTGAACTAGACTTTCAGCACTTTTCCCTTGTGTCTTAGCAGAACAGATCCACAAATTCATCAATGTTCAATCAATTTACTTTACTTATTTGTGCAATACAAATTTGAATATATACACATACAATACACATAGTTTAAACCATGTGTCCACAGTCACTTAACTGATTCATTTTGTCCCAGACCCTCATGCTTCTAACATGTACAGATGTATACGTATATGTTTCTTGCACTAGATTATACAGTACTTGCTTCTTTATTATGCCAAAGTCCAAGATTTTATACTTCATTCTTGCTTCATAATGCTTAAGTTTACAAGAGATCAGAAAAGTTAGAGATATTATTTTACATTATATTAGTTTAAAGTTATTGTTCACTTATCTTGTTCTGTAACTGGTGATGCAACACTGAAATTTCCCAACTGTGGGTCCGAATTAAGAATCTCTTAATCTCAGTCTTAATGAATTCACAATTAATTCTTTTTCAAGGTATGCACCCTCTATGGACGCTGTGTTCTCCTGCATGCTCTGCTAAATACTGTTCACTTTATCTCCTAAATTATGATTAGATTACAAATAAATTAACATTGAAACATATATTTATTACAGGTTTGAGTCTTTTCAAATACTCTCATTGTGAAGATTGACCATGTGCAATTTAGTCTTTGTTTACCCTTGTTTACCCTTCTAGACACGTGTATTGTACATTTAAATTAAAGTACACAAGCAGATAGAGCGCTGTATTTGTGGATCCTCATTTAGATTAGGAAATGTTGACGACTAGCACCCCCTACTGGCAGACTGTGTGTACATCAGCAGAGCTCAGTACAATCCAACGGTATTGTATTGGAATATTTCACACATATGCTGTAAGTGAACTCTTTATTACATCTTAATACTTCTTAAACGTGTATAGGAAAAATATATGATATGATTTGTGTGCATTTTACATTTGTGTTCATAACAAATGGAGTAGGTGACCGTCTAGTGGAGGAAGTAGTGGAAAAGTTGCATCCACATAATTTTGCCACATAATAACATGGCGTGGACACACAGTGGTGAAAAGGGAAAGAATGTTGTTTGACTGGACAATTTGAACTATTCCCTTAACAATTTTTAGAGTAAATACTACTAATGTTTTATTCAAGCATCATAGTCTGAGAATTTGTATATGTAACAACCACCGTCTTGGAGCATTTTACAAAATTGTCAGTTCGCCAACAAAAGATCAGAGAATCAAACACAGACTTTGAAATAGGTGTCTTTGAACAGATGGGGAATGGAGTGTTTGTGACTGAATGTGGTGAAAAGCTCAACTTTTTTGCATGATGTGTGTCTTTCAAGTCTTGTGGTTTAAAACTAAACCCAAACAAACAGCCAACTCATCACCACATCATCACTAGAGCTGTCTCAGTACTGGAGCTGTGTCCAATAGTAATTTGGTCAATTTATCAGTCGATTAAAACACAGTTTGGTCAATTAATCAGTCAAGTAATGCAACACCAAACCTCAAAAATGAAAAGATACAGATCAAATGGATAAATATGTTAGTATTTACTCAATATGGAAGCCACAGAAAACTCTCAATACACAAATTTGAAAAAGAATAATCATAATAGTCACTAAATATTTGAATTATTTTATGCCTGAATCTTTTTTGTCCCTTCAAATGATGTGATAAATGTAAGTTTTGCAATTACAGTTTGGCTCAGTTATGTCCCTGGGCATTATTGATTAAACCAAGAAACGTGAGTTCAGAAGATTGAAGTTCATTTAAATAGTTTATTTTGAGTTTCCTCAAACCAGTGATAAAGTCAACAGTTGCAATAGCAATTCGGCTCAAGTTTCATTCTTTAAAGTAAAATAGTTCCAAGATTCATCAATGAAATCAATTTGAGATCTTTTGTTGATTGAATCTGCGGCTGATCAAAAGTTCTTGTTTCTAGACGACCAAGACAGTCTCTGGTCCCGGTGAGCGCAGCCTCGTCACACACTGCCCAGACAGAGCGAGGCGTTGGTGCCTCCGAACCCAAAGGAGTTGGTGAGAGCCACCCTTCGGCCCGACGCCTTCCACGGCTGCGTGCTACGAGGGACATAGTTGAGGTCAAACTCGGGCTCAGTGCGGTCCAGGTTCAGGGTGGGGGGCAGGACGCCGTGGTAACAGGCCAGAGCCGTGAAGGCCGCCTCCAGGGCCCCGGCCGCACCCAGGAGGTGACCCGTGGCCCCCTTGGTGGAGGACACGGCCAGGGCAGGGGCGTGCTGGGAGAAGAGCCGCTTTATGGCAGCGTTCTCGGCCGCGTCTCCCAACGGTGTAGAGGTGGCGTGGGCGTTTATGTAACCCACCTCTGCAGGGGAGACGGAGGAGTCTTTCAGGGCAGCAGACATGCACCTGGGACATGGACAGAAGGGAACAGGTTATGGTCAAGTGAAAACTGTTCAAATGAGGGTTATATTACAGTATAGTTTAGTTTTAATGGTTTTTCCTCTTCCTTTACTAACTCACAGTTGTTGTAGAGCAGTGGTTCTCAACTGGAACCTTGTTGGGACTGAATTTACTATAATTGTAAAACTGTAAAATATTGTATATTTTCTACTACAATAAGCTAAACGTGAGAACAAAATAAGTCAAACAGACTCTGGAGTCAAGGAAATAGAACATGTTTGTGTCCATGGCAGAGTTATTCTTTTGACTGCAACTGTCCACAATATGACATTAAAGCTGGGGTACCTAACTTGTCTAACAGATAAGGCATGTTGATTGTCCAAACAGAAAATGTAAAATGTTGTGAACAATAGACCACAAGATGCTCCCTTCATCATATTAGAAAACATGGATACTTGTAAGAGCCCTATGAGTCAATATTTGAAAGGCGAAGCTGAGACTTGAGTGATGGAGGACCCCTAACCTTTTTTAGATGGATTTTATCATACATAGTTACATGTTTGTAGTTTGAAAGTTGGATTCCTCAGCTTTAAATGTATATATTCTTCAACAAGGAATATTCCATAGTGTGGTTTTAACTTTTTCTCTTCCATGGAATCATACAGGTGAATTTCATCCATCAAGAAAGTTACATACTGTTCCGTTGAAGAGGTTTGGGTTTTGAGTACTTTTGATACCATACCCACCTAAAGGCTCCGTCTCCGTCCGCGCTCGGTGCAGTGATGTGCGAGGCATCTCCGGACAGCCCGTACCCCAGCACCTCTGCATACATCCGGGCTTGCCTCTTCACCGCATGCTCCATCTCCTCCAGTACCAACACCGCCGCTCCTTCCCCCATCACAAATCCCTCTCTCTCTGGGTGAAACGGCCGCGACGCCATCTCTGGCTCGTCATTCCATTTGGTTGCGAGCGCTCTGGCCCTGGCAAACCCAGCTATGGACAAGGGGCACACGCAGGACTCGGCACCGCCCGTTACCATGGCAGCCGCATCCCCATGTGCGATGAACCTGGCCGCATCCCCGACGGCATGTGCTCCGGTTGTGCAGGCTGTGGAAACGGCATGATTCGGACCTTTGAGTTTGTGTTTGATGCTGATGTGTCCAGCTGCCATGTTCACCAGGATGCGTGGCACAAAAAAGGGGCTCACTTTGTTGTAGCCTTTGTCGTAGAAGGCCGATGACGTGCGGGCGATCTCCTCCAACGAGACCATGCCCATACCTACAGCCACCCCAGTGTTCAATTGCTCCTCTTCACTAGCAGGACACCAACCAGAGTCCTCCAGGGCAAGCTGTGCAGCCCCAAGCGCCATCACAGTCGCGGGGGACATGCGGTTTATCTCCCCACGAGTGGCGAAATTCTCAGCTTTGAATTGACCATCTTTCTGGCCTCTGGGAACCAACGCAGCAACTTTACAAGGGACATTCTTGTACTTATCTGGGTCCAACGCGACTATTCCACTGTGGCCCTGGATGAGACGAGTCCAAGGATAGGATGTCCCAGTGCCTAGAGGACAAACCAAGCCGATCCCAGTCACTACAACACGTCTTCTGGAAGTGCCTGAGCTGTGGCGCCTTGAGTGTATATGGATGCACGGGTCGGTGATGGAAATAGTTTTAAATCGTCGTGTTCGGAGTAGATTGCTACAAACTAAGGGAGGGAAATATGACATGCTGGGTAAAGTAAAGTTACACAGCTTTATAAAGTGTGTTTATGGTTCTCGGGACAGTTTTGATATAAGAAAACAAAGCAAAGTTGTAATGTTATTGAAGAGTACCTGCGACTTGCACGTCCATGCTGTTTTTCCTGAATGAATGTTGTTGAGTGGCTCGGATAACGCCTGCACCAAAACAAAACAAAGGAACTTGAAGTGTTTGTATTATTTATATATACAAAATAATATGTTCATGTAAGAACATAAATACAAAATCGGAAGACTTTAAACATTTAAACGACGATAATTAATAATTAATTAATGTTAGTAATAGATTGCCAGCACAACTATTACTACTACAACTGCTACTATTTATTTGACTGTATTTAAATATATTTAATTTTTTTTGCTCGCTGGTTGACTTTTAATAATTATATAAATATAAAACAATAAAAAATAAAAACACTTATGCTTGAACTGTGAAAAGTAAAGAATGACATGGAATCCATTAAACAATAAGCCATCATTTGGATTTAGACATTACATACAGTCAATGGGTCAATGATTTGGACTTGTATTATGAAAACACCACTTTCGCCAATTTTCATCAGGCGAAAGTTGGGTCAGCAGGACCCGGACCTTCCACTGTTCCCTGCTTCATGCTAATGCCGCAACCTGCCAAAGTGAAATTAAAAATCATCATTGTTGAATTAAACGTTCACGATGAGTTTATCTCCTGCCGTGACCACTTTGTGTGAGAATACCAGTGAAATATTTTTAGATGTCGCCAAACTGTTACTCACATACGCGGACAATATTCTGAGGTAAGCTAATATGCTAACTTACTCCTATGCGCTTTCTATTTAAAGTAACCCTAAAAGAATATAACATTATGCATGTTGTTCCAACGATTTGTCCCTAAACTAACTCCTTACAAACTATCTAGTTCATACGAATACTAGTTATGTGTCTTATGTCATTATACATATAGCGTCATGGATATAAATTACCATCTTTAAATTAAACTATTCTACACCTTATGATTTCGTTTCCGCATTCTTCGTCGCACCATTTTTCATCACTGATCCAGATCGACTTTTATGCCAATACCAGTGAAAGTTACAGAATTAAAAAAATATCAAAAATTGTCTAGCAAGTATGTTGCAAGAAGACTTATATAATGTATTTGTCAAATACTAACTCTGAAAACTAGAAGCTCAACACTCTTTTTGTATTATTATTTATCCAAATAACTATAACATGCGTACTGGCATCATTAAAATGCTGTTCTTTTTTTGTAAGACTAGTACAGCTCAAAAATAAATCGTATCTGAAATTGGCATAGTATTGGATCGACTCATTGCCACACATTATGTGTATTTAAGATGATATGTAACTAACTTCAGTTTCATTTTTATTTTGAGGAACCCCAATGAAGAGAAGTACAGATCCATCCGTATTGGCAACCCTACATTTTCCACCAAACTTTTGCCTGTCAAAGGAGCAGTTGAATGTCTATTCGAAATGGGATTTGAAGAGGTACCTTAATTTGTTGCGATAACTTAGAAGATTACCTTTTTTGTACTTTTATTTGAACAACAACTTGTCATGGCTGTCTCTCCAGGCTGAGACCCACCTGGTGTTCCCTCAGTCGGCCTCGGTGGAGCAGCTCCGGCTGATCCGGGAGTCCATTTCAGCAGAGAGAGACCAGAGGCTACGTGGAGGTCAGACCACTGTGCAGGCTCAAGCACCAGCCCCACAGAGCTCCCCAGGGACGAGCCAACCTGCAACACCAGTCCAACCATCCTCTATGGTAAAGACAAAAAATAATTTTCTGTATGTGTTTGAGCTCAGGATCAAGAAGCCAGTGCGCTTGGCTGTAGGCAAATAAGACACAGGGATACAATTATTTTTAATCTAAATCGGTCACTTATATTCCAGTTCCCCATTGATATTTTCTACTAAAAGATGAATAGACTTCTCGTCACTGACGCAAGTCACAAGATTTAATCTGGTTGATCTCAAGGTCTTGAAATAGCCTGTCAGTCCTTAAGGCTCTGTTCCAGATCAAAAGTTGAAGTATCCACAACTCTAAAAACAACAGCTTCTTAAACTCTGCATGTTGCCGTCCTCCCGAATTTGCGATACATCAGGGCGGATTCCTAGGCCAAATGAGAAGAAAGCCCTGTTATTAAAGTGATAGTCTGTAACTCTAAATTAATTACAAATTTTAGGAAATGTGCTAAATTGACCTCCTGGCCTTAAATGTTGATATAAAATAAGTCATTTTATTAATTCTAATATTACGGCAAGTCCCGCCTTCCCTGCTCTTAGCTATAGCTCAGAATCCACGATGCCGTCGAGGTTAACCAATCGAGTCATGCCAAGGGATGTCAATCATCGGCGCTGATGCTCGCAGCTGCGCGCATGCTCAGTTGTTTGTTTTCGCGGAGCCTCCGAATCAAGCCTCCATTAGGCTCTGGAACTACATGAAAACTGAACAAAGAATTCTGAACATCCGTGCTGAGGTACTTATGTATATACTGAGCCTATATCCATAATCATTTATATACTGAACCTATATCCATAATCAGATCCTCTGCAGATGTGTCCTATAATGTGCAATTCATGATAATAGCACTTCCTGGTTTGCCGCGATCGCTTTTTTTGTGCATAAAAACATTATTTTTTTCATTAAAACGTTCACAAATAATTCTGAAAAACTCTGTGCATGTGTATTAATAATGTATATGTATAACGTGTTCTCTGATTAACATTTAAAAGTGTTAAGGAAACATAGGTGTAGACCAATCAGAAAGGAAGGGGGAGGGAGCTTGCGTCGTTTTTTTCAAATCAAGTACCTCTCTGTCTCTCTTTCTGACAAACTCCAGACAATCACTTTAACAATCAAAATAGAAACTTTATCAGACAGAGGTGCCAGACAGAACCGCATTCTCCCACCCCTCTAGCATGCGACCTGTTGCATAGACCGTCCCTATGGGCAAATTGGGTCTCTAAATCCCCTCCTGACCCCTTTTATAAAAACGTATCAATCGCAATAAGACGCTGGTTACTTAATTCCATGAGTGAAATATCCTGTCACTGGCTTAGTCCTTAGAAAAACGGACACAAACAGTCAAGAGCACATAGGGATGAAGAGATAGATCGAAAGAGACACACATACACTCATTGATCCTCGCGAGAGAAATTCAGGTGTCCAGCAGCAGAAACACATTGAAGTTTTATTTATTAAGGACAATGTGCATTGCATTAAAAAGATGGCTGCACCAGATTTAGCACCATGATACTTTCCACCTGTAGTCCTTGACAATAAAAACATAACTTACATATCATTATAAAGATAAAAAAAGTGCTAGTCTACCAAGATACATATTAAAGAACAGTTCAATAAGGTGCAATACAGAGACGAGCTTTGTCCAGACCAGATCATGCATTGCGGCGAGATTCAATGCAAAGTGAATGGTGACTTCCATGCCATTTCTTGCATGGACACCGGGGCACGCACGTTTATCCCGCACGTCAGATGCCTTGTAGCGGCGAGGCAGAGGCAGTGGGTACAGCAGCTACATGCATGCAGCAAAAGCGGGAGATGAACATCCTCGCTCCAGACACTTGCGGCAGCAAATCAGAGAGCAGCAAAGTGGTCACGGGGACATATGCCAGTCCAAACCAGGAAGATGAAGTCAATCCATAACAACCAAAACAGGAGCTAAACCAGGATTAAAACATGACTGAGGACGGGGGACACAGCGCTTGTCCCCGTGCAGCGCAAGAGCCAGTCCTTCAAATCCCGAGATAAGTTGTGAATATCTGCCAGGTTCTTTAGATTGTCTGGAAGCCCGTTCCATTCTTTGGTGGCAGTGTAGGAAAGGGTAGATTGAGAAAAAGTAGACATTCTTTTTGGAACATTGCCTTCTCCAAGTTCATACAAACAAATACGTACAAGCATTCTAAACTATCTAACAATAGTGTACATGTATATGCAGAAGCCAAGATGTTACAATGAGAACTGCTGAGCCTCACCATGTGTCATTCATCTGTTATGATAATTCACTATCTATGCACCTGCTATAATTACTCTTGTTTATTTATCTGGTCATTGTCTCTGCTGCTATAATACAATAGCAACCATCTGTAAATGTGAAACCTCGTGACTAGGGATGCCCCAATGCATCGGCTGTATATCGGTATCGGCCAATGTTTTTGCTGATGGTAGTCGCATGCAAAAAGATACCAATAGAGGGCGTCAACGCTCTTTCCTCAGTAGAAGATATAAAGAAGTAGAGCTGCAGCTGTCAAATATTTTGGTAATTGATTATTCTATCGAATACACCGATCAATCAATTAAGTAATCTAGAAAAAAACGATCTTTTTGCCTAATCAAAAATATACAATTTCAAATGAAAACCACTTAATAATGACAAGTTTTCAAAATGTTATACAGTTTATACAGTTTTTGCATTCATATTATCAAATGAAGACAAGGCAACGGAGATTGCACCTATGCCACGGTTGATTTTCTAGTCCTTCCAGATTGAACAGAATCAGATGAGGAGCATGTCTCTGAGCAGCATATTTAAAATTCTATCTGTCAGAACAGCTGCTTGTACTGGGAGCAGGAACTTGTCCTAAACAGGCTGTGATGGTTTACTGAAAGAAAGGGAAAAGCAGACGCTAAATGTCAATCACACACACCTTCCAGATTCAATATGTCCTATATTAGATAAAAAACATTGCTGACCTGACCTCACGTGTCGTGCATCTCAGCAATAATTATAATATGCTATAGAACCACATGTGTCACTGTCTCTTAACTGAGTCACTGTGTTCCAGAGCTTCATGCTGCTAACATGTACAGATGTAAACATGCAACTATACATTTTTGCACTAGAATATACAGCATTTTATACTTGTTTCTTTATTAAAAGTTAGAGCTTTTATTTCATTTCAGTATATCGTTATTGTCATTCCTACTGTTCTGTAACTGGTGATGGATCCATGGTGATCATGCAGGACTATTGATTATGTACAGAGTTCAAATAACTGTTGTGGAGTAGTATAATACCTGTTGCCACTAGGATTGTAGTGAATGTCAAATTAAGTAAAACTTTCATGATACATGTTGTAGGAAAGTCAAGCCGAGAAATGCGCCCCTAGTGTTAGGTATCGTTTTTGGATGTTAGTATCACTTTCGCTTTTGAGCACATACGCTAAGAGCAACACGGCAGCCAAACGCGCTGCAGAGACTTTTTCCGAGTGTTAAGGACTCCTTTGCGTTGTTCCCTGTGTGTCAGTGTGCCAGAAAGTAAGTGCAATGTGTGATTTGTTGGTATATGTGCCTGTTATAACCATATGTCCGTGTTTAGAGTTTTCTCATGTTTTCTTCAGTCTAATTTTTCATTGGTGACGTGATGTACATACTTTAAGTAGTGTTCTAATGTATGATTTAATTTTCCTGCTAATTCATAGTTTACAGTTAGTTCTATTGTGAGTATATTGTTATTTACGTCTATCGTGTATATGACTGCCTGCCACTGCGTCTCGCGCCAAATTAAAGGGCTGTAACGTTGTAAGCATCCAATTACGTGCTGAAATTTTGCTATTATTGCATTGTAGCGTCAATGCAATGTAGATGTTGTGTGATTATAATATACAGTGGGTCAAAAAAGTATTTAGTGAGCCACCGATTGTGCGAGTTCTCCCACTTAAAACAATGACAGAGGTCTGTAATTTTCATCATAGGTACACTTCAACTGTGAAAGACAGAATGTGAAAAAAATCCAGGAATTCACATTGTAGGATTTTTAAATAATTTATTAGTAAATTATGGTGGAAAATAAGTATTTGGTCAATAACAAAAATTCAACTCAATACTTGGTAATATAACCTTTGTTGACAATAACAGAGGTCAACCGACTACTATAGGTCTTTACCAGGTTTGCACACACAGTAGCTGGTATTTTGGCCCATTCCTCCATGCAGATCTTCTCGAGAGCAGTGAATACAGACTTTCAACTCCCTCCACCGATTTTCAATGAGGTTGAGGTCTAGAGACTGGCTTGGCCACTCCAGGACTTTCAAATGCTTCCTATGGAGCCACTCCTTCGTTGCCCGGGCGGTGCGTTTGGGATCATTGTCATGCTGGAAGACTCTGCCACGTTTCATCTTCAAAGCTCTCGCTGATGGAAGGAGGTTTTGGCTCAAAATCTCACAATACATGGCCCCATTCATTCTTTCCTTAACACGGATCAGTTGTCCTGTCCCCTTAGCAGAAAAACAGCCCCAAAGCATGACGTTTCCACCCCCATGCTTTACAGTAGGTATGGTGTTCTTCTTCCTCCAAACACGACGAATTGAGTTTATACCAAGCAGTTCTACTTTGGTTTCATCTGACCACATGACATTCTCCCAATCCTCTGCTGTATCATCCATGTGCTCTCTGGCAAACTTCAGACGGGCCTGGACATGCACTGGCTTCAGCAGGGGGACACGTCTGGCACTGCAGGATTTGATTCCCTGTCGACGTAGTGTGTTACTGATGGTAACCTTTGTTACTTTGGTCCCAGCTCTCTGCAGGTCATTCACCAGGTCCCCCCGTGTGGTGAAATGAATGAAAGTGGCTACATCGATATTTTTAAACAATGCCGCTTTGGCAGCGTTTGACTGTTCGCGTTAGAGGGAAATCCCCTCTGTGTTATTATAATTATAAAAATTAAAAACGTGTGCCTTACACCATAACATAAAAGTTGACTTACCTCGTCTCGGGTCTTCCCTCGATGCTTCCTCGTCAGGGGCTGCAGCATCAAACTGGTGCTAATATATGAGATACTAGCTCCACTTTGCAATGTGTGCAAAATGCTCCAGTTTTATTAGTGTTCGAAGTCAAGTGCTCCCACACTTTAGACGCTTCTTTTAAACTCTGCTGTCTTTGCCAGTGCCATCTTCGTCGTCCTCCATTGATACTATAATGGATTAATGCATTGTCCGCAGAAAAGTTTTACAAACACTAGCGATGCATGCAGACCCGGGCAGGTAATATCTGTGACATAAACGCATTGCGTAACACGAAAAAATCTGTGCGAAATGTGAGCAAAGTCTATGGATCAAATGAGGCAAAATGCCGCAAATAAACTGCAGTATATGAAGGATCGAGGCAGCGGAAATTCCTCGACTATTTCTTGTAATAAAATTATTCAATGAATTCCAATACGGATTCTGTCTGATCTGTGCATAATCTGGTCTTATTTCTTCCTCTTTTCTGCTGTAATATGCAACTATGACACTGAAATGTATCTTATCGTTTTTGTGAAAAACCAAGAGGTTGCTGTAAAATTGTGGTTTTGGACTATGGTAATACATCAGACTTTCAGTTTTATTGTTTAGCTAATTTCTCTATAATTGTTGATCCAATCCACATCTTCTTTGTCAGTACATACCAACTATGGTCTCATTATATTTTCATAAAAGTGTCAAAGTGGTGACAATATTTAAAAACATGCATGATGTTGTCAGTAGGAAGGAATTTCAGACAAAGAAGCTGTATATGTCCCACTTTGGGGAAATTTATAGTGTTGCAGCTGACAATAATGGTTGGAAATTCTTTGACGGTTTTATGATTTGAGTTATGATTTGAATTGGACTGAGAGCATTTTATTGTATTTTAAATCAATGTTTGTCAGTATAAGGCATAACCATTGTAATGATTACAATGTAATTGGATTGACTGAAGTTATAATTTTTCTATTGTACTAAAATCAGCCAGCCGCTCCTTCTGAGGCAGAAAGAGGAAGCGTAGGCAGCTGCCGGAAAGTTTTCATGAATCATCCGGTACAGGAATTAAGTTGACCAAAAGTAATGGGATGTAGGGGACATGTAGGGGAGTGGAGGAGCAGAGTTTTGAGGATTCGAGGAGATCTTCCATCACAGGACCACGATGCCAAAGCAAAGAAGAAGACAGCGCAGAAACAATGAGGTAAAGATTTGGACCAGGAGGCCGTGGACAAAATTCCCCCTGCTCAGGACGGAGAGGGGCGCGGGGGCCGTTCTGCTCAGCACAAACAACCAGGAAACCAAGACATCAGGTTTTTGTTATTATATTATTATAATAATGAAAGCCAAGTGCACGACCTACAGAGGAAAGTTGCCAACACTGACGGAGTCTTGTTTTCAAGTGTTAGGGTTCAAAGCCCTACAAATATTGAGGTTCAACTCATCATAGACCTTTGTAAAAAAAGAAAAAAAAGGAATGGGAAATTTTGAATCTCTGTCACAAAAAAGTTGTAATCGGGGTCTAAATTGCATATGGAAAAAAGTTTTGCTTGGACAGAATTTATTCAGAAAGAAGATGCCGAGTTTTGTCTGCAGGTTAAGGGTTAAGCGGCTTTAGTTCATGTTGTATGTATCGCTCTTAAGAAAGTTATATAGAATTTTAGACTAGGTTAGATTCTTCTGATCATGCATTGTGTTCAGTGTTGGGCACGTTACTTTGAAAAAGTAATTCGTTATAGTTACTAGTTACTTCTCCCAAAAAGTAACGGAGTTACTCCACTATAAAAGTAACTTGATACCAGTAAAAGTAACTATTGCGTTACTTTTTCGTTTTGTCTTGGAACATAATGTGCACTCGACGTGCGCATTTTTACCTTTAACCTCAATGAGTTTAAATAGTGCCAATATTTCCATCTAGAAAAGGCTGTTTTGCTGCTGAAGTCCTCCTCACTCTTCATCTCTCTCTGTGCTGTAAGCACTAAACACCAACACCCGCCACTGTGAATGTGGAAACACCGGTGAAGCACTGACTTCAGCCCAATCAGATGAACATATATATATCATATAAATCAAGTGGACAATTTGTTTGGCTACAGCAGAATATGTTTCATGCCCGCATTGTTTGTTCATACATAACGCAAAACTATGAGTTATGGGTCTTACCTTATAAATGACCTGCACAGGCCACTTCAGTTCAGACCAGTTCTGTGTTTAAGTCCAGATAATAGTTTGAGCGTAGATATGTAATCCTCCGTTTGGAAATGAGTCCAATGAGTTTTAAAAAGAAAAACAAAACGTGTGTGTCCTCCATTAACTCCTCTGTTTTGCTGCAGCCATGTGCATCCAATTTCTAAAATCAATCGTCTTACACTTCACCTCTCGTTCTTATCATTCCTATAGTCATTGAAAAAATTACCATCAGTACATTTTAAATTATCTTAAAATGTGTTATATGTATGTTAGCCAAACCTGTTGCTGCCCTTAGCAGATAAACCAGGAAGAGAAAGGAGCTTATCGATGGAATTGTATGCAGCCGACTTCTGCGCTCATATGCGCTCCTCTGAGGCTGGCCTCATTTGGTGACATTACAAGCCGTGGTTGAGCGCGATTAAGACCCATATTTGTTTCAAAAACACAATTTAAGAGCCATCCTCTCAACTGTAGACATGTAGATTGTAAATGAAATATGTTTTACATCAGCCAATAATTGCTGAGAGGTTTTCATCCTCCCTTCTCTCATGACAACACGCGCACGAGTCCTATCACGAAGTAAAAAGAGAAGTTCACTGGGCGTCTTTAGTAACGCGCAGTAACGGGATGTCGGAAATGATAACGGCGTTATAGTTACAGCCAAAGTAATTAGTTAGATTACTCGTTACTGAAAAAAAGTAGCGGCAGTAGTAACGCCGTTACTAGTAACGCCGTTATTCCCATCACTGATTGTGTTGCCTGGGTAACGACTTCATCACGCTTCATCACTTTGAAATAATGATTTTTTTCAATATTTCTTTCAAAAATGGCTTCTCTCCATAGCGTTGTTTTGGCACCTGTTATTCACCTAAAATAGACTTCTCGAAAATGAATGCTATCTTTTTGTTTGCAATTTCTTCCAGGAGTCCACCATGAGTTTCCTCGTGACGCTACAGTCCAACTTCCAACATGTGCTGGTGTATGAAAACCCCGAGCTGCAGCGCAAAGCCAAGAGTTGCATTCCTCACCAACAATTGACTTCCACCGCTGCAGAGAAACTGAAGGAGGCCAGAGACGCAGACCCAGGTTCACAAGCTTTTAAACCCAATCTAAACAGCCCACTTCAAAACACAGGTCCATAGACGTTGCTCCAATTCCTTCGAAATGCCTTCATCTACCTTATTGTATTTCATATAGTTATAGGTCCTGCATCGGGTCCCTTAAAATAAAAAAAATAAAGAATAAAAAATGTTTAGGTGCAGATATGGTTATAAATTGATGAATCCACTACTGCATTAATTTTAAACGTTTTCAGTAATTGTTTAATTGCGATTAATCAATGAACTTGTTGCAGCCCTAAAAGAAGACAATGTTTATTAGTTATTTGTTAAGGGTTTTTGTTATATTTTGCTATTGTATAGATTTTCATTTGACCTATGTAATTATAGGCTGCATCTGAATTCTGGAGAAAAATGTCTGTGTTTTGAAACGAGGAAGATCCAGACTTAAACGCCTTTTCAAAATGTTTAGTATAATTTTGAAAAGTTAAATAAGTTAAATATAAGGCTAGATAAGAAGGATAAGTAGGAATCAATAAAGGTTTATTTTTTGGATAATGAATTGGGAGGTGGTTAAGCTTGATGTCAGGTCTCAACTGCTTTTCAGAAAGTAAAGTGGGTTATGAGGATTTGGTCGTACTGGAGCTGCTCAAGTGGTTCAAGCAGTTCTTCTCCTGGGTGGACTGTCTGAAGTGCAGCCGTTGTGGAGGAAAGACCAAGAACGCCGGCTCCCTCAACCCCAGCACCGAGGACCTGCGCTGGGGAGCACAGAGAGTGGAGAATCACTTCTGTGAAACATGCAAGCTGTCCAACAGGTTTCCCAGGTCAGTTGACTCAATAACCACTATTTAATTCGTTCTCAACTCTGTACCACTCTGGTTTATCGTCTGCATCGACATATCTTATGTTAAGCTGTGTTTTCTCATGCGTGTCATTGTTGAAAAAGCTGATCGAAATAAGAGGACCACCTTCACTCAGTCAATCAGCTCTCAGCCCAAAACTTAAAATAGCACCCCCACACATGTTTGTAAAAAAACACAGCTTTCATTTGAGTGCAATGCCTTGTCAAACAGTTGTATGTACTCATTTGTATGATTGGTTTTGTAATGGTTGGTAACATCCTTTGTATGTGTCGTCGTAGATACAACCATCCTGAGAAGCTGCTCGAAACCAGGAGGGGGCGCTGTGGAGAGTATGCCAACTGTTTCACCCTGTTCTGCATTGCCATGGGTCTGGAGGCAAGATACGTTTGGGACAGCACCGGTATGTTTACAATGTTTTTACACAACTTTTCCTTCATCCAAACTGCAGCAGAATCAGGTGGGTGACAGTTCTCAAGATGGCTTGTACCTCTGCTGCCTAAATTGGGTCTAAATTTGGTCTCAATTGTCTTTCTAACGAACCACAAAAAAGTTCTAATATAGAATTAAAGTTATTCTATTGATGAGAAAAAAATCCCAAAGTCACTGTAATCGGTATCGACGGATTAAAAGTATAATGATCAATGATCAGCCTCAAATATTCTCCTCTATTATAGATATTACTCCAGTCCAAGCACCAAACACTACCATGATTCAACTCTAGTTTGTTTTATGTCCATATTTTTGTTTATAATATCCATCCATCCATCCATTTTCTTCCCCTTAATCCATTTCTGGGTCGGGGGGGTGGCCAGAGATGCCACCCAGTCCACAGAGCACCAGCTCCTCACTGAGCTTCAGGCAAAGTGGGGTTAAGTGTCTTGCCCAAGGACACAACGACAGCAGTCATCAGTTGGAGTCGTGAAGTAGGTCTTATGGTGGGCTCGAACCCACGACCTTCAGGCTCAAAGGCCAGTGCTCTACCAACTGAGCTACTGTCGCCCCAGAAATGTTTAATTATATATATATATATTAGGGCTGTCAAAATTATCGCATTATCCATCCATCCATTTTCTTCCCCTTAATCCATTTCTGGGTCGGGGGGGTGGCCAGAGATGCCACCCAGTTCACAGAGCACCAGCCCCTCACTGATCCTCCTGCAGGTGGTGAGTCCACAGGAGCTGAGATCTTTCAGTGGGAGCTTCAGGCAAAGTGGGGTCAAGTGTCTTGCCCAAGGACACAACGACAGCAGTCATCAGTGGGAGTCGTGAAGTAGGTCTTACGGTGGGCTTGAACCCACGACCTTCAGGCTCAAAGGCCAATGCTCTACCAACTGAGCTACTGTCGCCCCATTATCGCATTAACGCACGTTAATTAATTTTTTTCATTAATCGCGTTGAAAAAATTAACGCATTTGACGCATGCCCATGCGTCCCATAATAACGCTCAGAATGCCGCGGACACATGCGTGTGTGTAAGATGGGGACAGAGCAGGTAGACCCTCTGGGAATTCAAGTTTTGAAAGAATACACGCCTGACCGCGGGGCACTTGTTGTTTCCTGTATGAACTCTGCATGATGAGCTGCGGGCGCCACAGCGCTCTGGACAGCAGTTCCCACTTCCAGCGGCTGTGATCACGGCGAACGGCGCTGCGTAATGGGATCATATCCAAGACCACGCACAGAACTATTACAGAACTATTCTCTAGTGTGCGTACGTGTCTTTGCGTAACCGATGCACACAATATGTACAGCGCCTCCGTGTCTTCTCTCGAAGCGCACTCGCTAAATTAAAGCTGAGGTACCTAATTTTCCTTTCGACTACCAGTTCATGTTAGTTGTGCCAAAAAAGTAATGGTGTGAGCAAATCAAACAGATTTAATGACATTCTGCATTTCAGACTATTTTGAAATGTCCCTCATCTGTAACAAACAATAGTTTTGGTCTGAGTCTAAACAAAAAGACAGAATGTTAATAATGTTAATTCCATTTTATATGGATTTATTGTTATAACAAACAAATACAGTACATATGTTCACTAAGCTGTCATTTATCTTTCCATTCAAACAACAATTTATAGAAAAATATGGCATAATTTTGCCAATACTTTGAAATGCGATTAATTACGATTAATTAATGTTTAAGCTGTAATTAACTCGATAACAATTTTTTATCGTTTGACAGCCCTAATATATATAATTTATATATTTGAACACATATTGTCTCTTTCAGATCATGTGTGGACGGAGGTGTATTCGCCGTCTCAGCGCCGCTGGCTTCACACTGACTCGTGTGAGAACGGCTTTGATCGACCTCTGATCTATGAGTTAGGCTGGGGGAAGAAGCTCTGCTACATCCTGGCCTTCTCCAAAGATCAGGTCAGCACGAACATGCCATCTCACTTCCCATGAACATCTAAGTGCTCAGTGTGAATGCTGCAGGTGGTGGATGTCACCTGGAGATATTCTTGCAAGCATCAAGAAGTGTTGAGTCGGAGGAATAAGGTTCAGGAAGCGTGGCTCCTACACACCATCAACAGCCTCAACAATACCGTAAGGGCGCCAGAATCAAATATGAATATTGTCAAATCACAGGAAGTGTATTTTGCCTCAGCCTTTACTATCATATAATACTTTAATTATGTATTTGTCATGGCATTGTAGAGACAACAGAGTCTGAGTCCTGAGAGGAGGAAGGAGCTGACTGACCGGCTGCTGGTTGACTTGGTGGAGTTCATCTCTCCTAAAAAACCTAAACCTGGAGAGCTGGGTGGACGCACCTCCGGGTCACTGGCGTGGAGGCTCGCCAGAGGGGAAACCAAAGTGCCTGATTCAGCAGCAAAGGTAAGTCATATTTTTCTTCAAAGAACTAGAATATTTAGTAGATGTGCCATGATACAAAAGCAATACTGTATGAACAGTAACAGGTGGCAAACTTCCACAGTTACAGTCGCCAAAAGTTGCTCCGAGTCATCACCAGCACATATAAATTTTCTGTCATCGACAAAGAGTACGAATTTCATTATAATTATATACTTTGCATTTTTCATAAATGTACAATATAAATAATAATGTGGGTCCCAGTATTGATCCTTGTGGTACTCCATGAGTTATGTCCCTACAACAAAATGGCCAAAAAGAATGAAATCTCTCGCTGGATGTGTACATTTGAAACACAACGTTTAGGCCTATATTACCATGTGATCCACGCATCCTCTTGCTGTTTTTGATCAAATTAGGCCCTGTCCACACGAAGTCAAGCTCAGGCCTAAACGCAAAAATACTTTATCAATCCAGTGTATCGTCCATACGAGGCCGGCGTTTTGGGGGGGTGTAAACAAACATTTTTGAAAGTAGGTCCCAGAGTGGAAAGATTTCAAGACTCCGTATATGCCGCTCCGTGGTTACTGCCTCTCCGCAATGTATCTGAGACGCTTGCATCATCACCCCGCCTCTTGTTAAAGCACGCATGCGCCGCACTCAGAAAATAATGACAACAACAATGTAGCTTGTTGGTTTTGTAATCCAGTGTGACCCGAAGCAACAGTTCAACCTCATCGTCCGTCCATACTAATGTAGTACCAGCTCGCCCACTCGCCATGTTGTCTGTTTACAAAATTCCGCGCATGCCCACGGAAGTTTGGGCTTGATCCCGTCATTGCGTCACAGCGCCACCAACAGGTCTGGCATAGTTTCACAGCGTTTTCAGGCGTATTGACTACATTCATATGGACGCACACATTTACTGAGCTAACTCCGTGTTTACAGAAAAAGTTTCTGAAATTATAAGCGTTTTGTCTTCGTGTGGATATAGCCTTAGTTAAATTTAATTCTTGCCTCTTCTAATAGTTGCATCGGACCTAATTTTGCTGCATTAGTTTTAGTTGTAAAAAAAAACTTTCTTATTATAGACTTCAAGTTTTGTGTTCACCCCTACCGACAAAGAGAGGACAGAGAAGCGGCTGCATCTACGCTACAACGCTTCCACCAACCAGTACTGTCGCGTGTCTAACGACGCTGAAGTCATTCCAGGCTGGGAGCAGTGTGTGTGGCAGAGTGAGGCTGTTCTCAGAAAGGAGGAGAGCGACTGGCAGATGGTAAACACCTGTACTTCACACCACACACTCGCATCCCACATACTGTGTATTCAAATCTATTTCACTCGGTCCTCGCCCTCCAGAACTGTGGGTCTATCACAAGTTTTTGCATGCATGTGTTTTTTGGCCTCTGTTACTTCTGTAGAAGTTTTTTTTAGACTGAAAGTAAAAAGAGAGGACCACCCTCACTCAGCCAATCAGCTCTCAGTCCAAAGTTCAAATACATGTGGAACACGGAAACAAGGAATTTTGTTCTAAAGTCCATTCACTCCTGAAATTCAACTTTCTTTATGAATTAATAGCATGACATAATTAAAGTGAGATATATCATGTTTTTTTGTTATTTTGTTGATTATTGACTCACGGCTGTAAAAATCCCAATGAAAAGCTTTCCAAAAGTTGGAATAATTTTGAAAATGGACTGTAAGCCATAATTATTATTTCATGATTAAAAAAGGGTTGACTTGTGCCACTTTGCATTTAAGAAGTATAAATCACCATAAATAAATGAAACCAGGTACAAAAATAGGTGTAGAACTACAGATGTCGCAGGCAGGTTAGATTCTGGCTTTATTATGTCTTTATTAGTTCACTAAATGTGCATATTTCATACTGTCCCTTATACACAAGCAGCAAAATATTGAATGTCTTCAAATCAGACAAAGATGGCACGTTGACATCCAATTTGTTCATATTTTACTTTTACAAGACTTTCTGTTGGAACAAATTAAAATGTATTTATGTAACAATAAAAATTAGGTCACCCTGCTTTAAAATTGAGACTAAACCAGGACATAAACCTGGACAACCATGGACCAGAATGTGACGACCGATGTTGACTGTGTGAGACTTTAACGCCATTCAAACTCACACGCTTTAGTGACATAAATGTGTTTTGGGTTTAACATTGTTTTTCTTGTATGAAATGTAACTTCCTCAATCTGACTCTGATGCCCTCGCTGTAGGTATACCTGGCACGAACAGAGGGCTCGTCCACAGGGAAAGTCAGCTGGAGATTTGACTTTTTTCCAGTGGGAATGCAGATAGAAACAGTCAGCGTTATGGCCAAGAGTGAGACATTTGAATCTGGAAGTGTCTGCTGGAAGGTGCAGTCAGGACAGACCACCACACAATTTTCTGGAGGTATGTTGCTATAACACAGGGGAGTCCAACCTTTTTCACACAGAGAGCTACTTTCTCTGGACTAGAATGAGACTGAGCCATTCCTGTAAGCGTCCAGGGACAAAGGAGTCTATTGAATATTGAAAGTCTATTGAAGGGTGGGGGCAAGTCTTGGATGGGGTACTCATCATTTCCTATCTATTATAATTTTTGTTTTCATTTTCTAAAAGTGCAAATCAATAATTGTATTAAATATTCAGAATATTATGTAAAATCTAAATCCTTGGAAGGGGGTGTCGAGTTACTGGTTGCTATAACATGGTTAGGCAGGCTCTGTTTCTAACTTTAACTTAATAATTTTTCCATTTTAGACGGCAAGACGCAACCTTTACCGTGCCTGTCTGGCTCCTCCGAGTTCACCGTTGTAGCAGAACTGTGTGGCGGGAATGGATCTGTGGCCTGGCAACACGCACAGCTCTTTAGACAGAGTTTGAAGGAGACTGATGAAACCTCATTTGAAATATTGGTCCATCTCCAAACTGTTTAACATTGTCAGAAGTAATTGTCCTGTCATTCATTTTATCTGTGCAATAATCAGTTTTATTTGTTAATCAAAAGTCCTAATCTGTTTCTTTTGTATCAAATTGTAATGTTGATAATATACACTACTGTGGCTGTCAGCTACAAATGTATGATAATGAATTGCTTTTTATATAGAACTTTTTGGGATACAGTTGGGAGCAATTTGCATTCATTCTGTCCACAAGGGTGTAAACTACTGTTATCACAGTATCCACAGCTGCCTTAGGGCAGACCTAGGGAAGCAAGGCAGAAAATCTGTGCCACTGACCTCCACAAATCATTCACTCACACACCAGACCCATACTACCGTATTTTTTGGATTATAAATCGCATATCAAAAAGTAGCCCGGGCTAGTAAATTGAGCGGTTAAGCTATAAAGAAGAGCGATACGTGCATCATTTGACCACCCACTGGCTCGCCGGTGGGACATTTTGATTTTTCAGTGTATATATTTGTATTACCCACAAATTACCCACAAAATGTGATTCTAGTGTGTCTTCTACATGTTTTATTCCTTCTTTATTTTTTAATTTTTGGCTGGTACAATTTATACTCCAGGGCGATTTATAATCCAAAAAAAACTGTAGATTATGGGTGAAGTGTCTTGCCTAACTACACAACTTTACATTTGCGCCACTGTGATACTTGTTGTTCCCAGAGGTCTCCCATTACATCACTAACCAGGCTCTGCTTTGCTCAGCATCCAACATTTGATAGGATCAGGCTTTCACATGCAGGTACGGCTATGTGTGGGTGCTTTGCATTATCATTTAGGTCATCTTACATGGAATAATAAAAGATTTTTTTTAAATGTGTTGTGTCTGTGATTGATGTATGATTAATTATTTAATAGTGTTTGAATGACATTGGTCTAAATCACATATAGCAATGATGATTCCTCAAATAATTAGAAATGGTGAAAAAATACAGCACAAGTGTGACTTTGAGTTACATTTCAATCTTGAAACTACTATTTCAAGAATGAATATAGTAATGTAATTTTAGTAACAATGTAACAAGTCACTCTCAACACTCGTAGTAGCAGCATCGATGTTTGATGCCATCTGGTGGTATTGAAAGAGAACAGCAAAGGGTGAAATGCTGTGTTTTCATTGGTCTGAACGCCGGTGTCCTGGCTCCTGATTGGCCAATGACTCTGCTAACCGATTCGCCGTCTATCATGCAGATGGCGGAGCCGGATAGTGGATGCTAAAGCTAGCCAATACTAGCTTTTATTCTGAGACAAAACTATTTTTCACCGGAGAAACTGCTTACAGAGCGGTTTGTCTGGATTTGTATTATATTTTGCCGCCAATTATTTTCCAACAGCAGCCCTGTATTTATCCAACGATTATAATATTATTTATTTTTGGCCAAGTAGCCCGGTTAGCATCTTTGTTGGAACTTCAGGCCTAGCAGCTCTGTCTCCCTGCGCTCGTCGGTTTTTAACAATAGCCGCGGAATAGACCGTCCCCTCCAGTTGTTTTGGGAACATTTTCTTGGATTAACTTTTACAAATTGGGGGTTAAACATGGGGCAAAAAGCGGCTCTATCGAGTATCATCATTTGAGGAATTTAGCGGTTCGGTGGATTTCTTACTCGGTCGGATTTGAGGACGTTTTCTCAGCTCCCATCACTGAAACATTAGGATCACAAAGAAGCATGTCCAACGGAGCAGGCAGCGGTGCAATGGCCTGGCTGGTGAGTTTATTAGGGTGATTATTACACCAATGCATGGTTATTAAGTAGTAATGCACGGGTTGAATCGATGTGGATCGCTTTGTTGTAAGTCTGTTGTTGCAGGTCTGTCCCATTCATTCCTCCGCTCTCTGCAGACCAAAACACTGGCCATTTAAACAGCCTGTTCTGCACACGGCTCCAGAAGGCTTTTACTTTGACTTTACTTTACAGCAAAACTCAAGGTCTTATCGCTCTCTGATGACGAAATCGTGTAGTTTAAAAGTTGTTGTTGTATTTAGCTGCTTCTATTTCGAGGAGACCTTGCATTACAGGGTAGTTACAGGGTCATAAAGGCATAACACATTTATTGGATACGATGGTGCTTGATTTAAAGTGTTCGAATTCAAACTATTAGTTTAAATTCTGCTTACACGTAGTAAATCTCAAGTGTGTTTTCGATGTATTCTTTTTAAATCTAGATTTATAAATTGGGTTGTAAATTATATTATTTTCCAATGAACAGTGCCAAAGCAACAGTCAAGCAAGCATATGATCGAAATGTAGTGATACTGATATTTTAAATACGTATTTGTAATTCTAAAGTGGCATTTCATTCACTCTTAACATCATTAAAAAGATTATAAAACGGGTTTTAATTTTATTAAAGTATTAAGTCATATTTTTCAGATTCAATTCCTTTCACACTGACTTATCTCTATATGTCTCAGATTCTGAGTCAAGGACACATTTCTAATTATATCTTATCTTATTTTCTACTATTATTTTGTAGGGCTGTCAAAGATTTTGTTAGTAATCAGTACATTTTGTTTATTATCAAATGGTAATGTACCGGTAACAAGTATAATTTTGTGTTCTTTAAACTTTTGCTTTTTTATTCTCTTTTCATACTCTAAAGTTGTCAATACTGGTGTATATATAGACTGTTTATTAAGCAAAGCGCTAACTTTATAATTTCATGCCCTACAGGAAGCGGCCAATGGCAGAAGTGATGGTGGCAAGATGGATGCCCCCAAAAAGGAGAAGGCGAGCAAACTTTCTGTGGAGCGAGTTTACCAGAAGAAAACCCAATTGGAGCACATCCTCCTGCGTCCGGACACATATGTTGGCAGTGTGGAGCCCGTCACCCAGGTAAGGACTCGCAGGGGCCATCTGGGCTATATCACTATCAGTTCATTGAGTTCATCTATATCAAAAGTGAACACAAATAATACACATATCACAGCTATTTATGTAGCATTTAGGGCTCACCTATTCGCACAGCAGTGGCTGCACAGATGGCACAAAGGTCGTCTATGTAGCCCCCCTTCGCTTTGCACTCTGAATATTTTAAGCCCACCTCAAACAACATTTGAAGAAGCTTGTTATGTATTGTTAGGGCCTCTCACAATCCAACCTGTTAAACTAATATTTATATTATTCACAGCAACAACTTAAAACATACTACTTACAGAAGGAGAACCAAAAACAAAAGTGCAAATATTTGCAATGAGAATAATACTTTAACCTTTAATTGGGAAGACTGCTCAAAAGCAGAACACTCATAATAAATAATCCACAATCAAAGAAATCAGCTTTCTTTATTATAGTTGCATAATATAAAGGGACAGTATACAGTTAGCTCTCCTCCTGTTACAATCAGAACTAATAGAATCACATTTGGTCCATATGGCCTTCATCAGTCATTTGATCTGAGTCTGATTCAGGACATATGGCCTGAAACCTTAACATGCTGTGGTTTGCCTGTGGTCAGGAGTAGAAGTGCTGTGTGGATTGTTTTTCTGTCTTTTGACTTTTTAGTTCTGCCCACTCTCCTTATCTTGGATGCGGTTTCCCCCACCACCCAATAATGTGCACTATAGATACAATCCTCAGCGCCAGGTCTGACCAAGAGCATGTACTGTATATCTGAAGACCCCCTGGGTGCTACACTGTGGCAACCACTGCTCCTTACAGGCTGCTCTGGGGGCATAGGAGGGATGGGTCATTGTGGGTTTAATTGCATATGGTGAAAATACATTAACTTAAGCTTTAAACATATCTAAAACTTTAATTAGAAAACACCTTATTTGATTTGAACATTTGTAAGATTTTAGAACATTTTGTGTATTATAATTTCCGGAGGGTGTTTCTTCCTAAACCTCTCCACATGGACAAGAGGCCACCCGCGGTACTGCAACTTTAATTCACACAGACTGTAAGGAGGTTTTACAGCTGGGGGTCTATTATCCCCATAGACCTCAATATGAACTAAAACAGCTCGTCCTCATCTGACAATGTCCAATGTCATTCATAATGTTTTCTTTTTGACATCCTTTGGTTTTCTATATATCCACACTTTAATGCAACAAACTCGTCCCGCTCTAGCTCTGCTCTGATCAGCAGCGCTCTGATTGGTCAGAACGCTCTTGTGTTACTCAAAATGCGTCACTTCCGCTAATGTTTTGGACGACCATGGTGCGAGCATGCACCTATGAGCACAGGCCATCGATGGGCAGACATCTTGGAGACGTGGGGCTCATGGGACAACTATGTAAAATGGATAGAGGTTAAAGTCTAAATCTTGCATATGAATCCATTTACTACATGGAATTCCTTCTTCAGTAATTACAGTATGTAGTCAGTCATGTTGTTTATGGCTTACATACATCCTAAAAGCTGATTCCTTATCAATGTGTACTCTTTGCTCTGATCCATCAATGCTGTTCCCTGCTTCTCCACTAGGTTTACTACAAACACACAACTCAATGCGCTTAAGTGTCACTTAAAATGTCCGCCTAATGGATTGATTCATAATATACCACAATATATGGGCTCTTGTTGCCTAAAAGGGTTCAAAGCCAATTAAACCCACAAGATTATACAGTCTCCACATAAATACAACTCGCAGAAAACACTAGCCGGAACTATATCTCATCGATCTTATCTTGACATCTTTACATTGTCTTTTCTTTTGCAGCAAATGTGGGTGTTTGATGAAGAGATCGGAATGAACCAGAGAGAGATCACCTATGTCCCCGGCTTGTACAAAATCTTTGATGAGATCCTGGGTGAGTGAGTGCACAGTCCACAGGCGGCTCCATCCGTCATGTGAGCTCATCGTCTTCTCCTCCTCTCGTCCCTACACACATTATCTATGTTTAATAGGAACTGTTCCTAGCGGCAGCATCGGCGTGTGCTGTGCTTGGAAGTCTAATGAACTGAGCTGATAAAACATGCATGCTGAGTTACCGCGTGGTTAGATTCAAGTGTGAATGTTTAGTCTGACAGCTTTAGTAGTTTAGTTTGGTAACGCTCAAGTAATAAAGATGAATTATCCACTTTATTTTGTTCAATATGAAGTGGATGATTGTTTTTTTTTATCCAGTACAGAGCTGCTTTATACTAAAAGAGTCTGGCTGTACAATACTAATATATTTTCCAGACTTGCATCATCAAAGCAAGTGGATTAGTATTTCCATGTCTTGCGGATTTAATTATATGAGGATAAATAATGAATACGGTGGAGTTTAAAAGGGTTGGATTATAAAACAATTTGACTTCTTCCTACTCACTTTTTAACATAACGGAATCTATTCACTTTATTTCTTGCTGTCTACGCTTTTTAATTTATTCACAACAAATTTCTATCTGATTTGTTCATTAGTTTGGGGCCAGAAGAGAAATCGGAAAGGCTTACGATTTGCCATTAACCAAATAGTTGTGCCTGGAAAGAATTTGGTCTCGAAGGGGTGAAAAAAGATCTGGCTTTTCAACAAACTAAGCATTTTGAAAAGAGGAATACAACTTTTGACAAACTGGTTTCATTTATTGTATGGAAAGAAAACTGGTGAACAACCTTCATTACTTTTCCTTCTTTCTTTGTTCCCAGTGAACGCAGCCGACAACAAACAGCGGGACAAGAACATGACGGGGATAAAGATCACCATCGACCCGTGAGTAGAGCCGTGGAAAACCCTTTTTAGATTACATTGCATGGAGCAGCACAGACCACACATACAGCTTTGATTCACTAGCATATCGTATCGAATTGTATCTACTAGAAAGCCCCTTTGTAATTAGATACATATCATAAATGTCATGCGTCACAAGATGCGTATTGTAGCGACAGGCTCTGATAGATTCCCAGCTCGAGTTTGGACGTACATTTCAAGTCTATCTCCCTTAAATGTCGCCACAGTGACTCCAACACCATTTCCATCTGGAACAACGGCAAAGGCATCCCCGTGGTGGAGCACAAGGACGAGAAGATGTACGTGCCCGCTCTCATCTTCGGACACCTGCTCACCTCCAGTAACTATGACGACGAGGAGAAGAAAGTCACTGGTGAGTCTCACAGTCAGGCTTGAAATGAAATCCATTTAGAGCAATGTTGATTAATGTGACAGTACCATAGACTGTAAAAAATAATGGACGTAGTCACGCCTATCTCCGCCGTTCAAACAAATGGGCCAAAAATAATGCTCTACTGGAGCTCTCCAAAATGGCCGCGAGTGGTCCCACCCTCAAGAAAATTTTGAAAAAACGCATCTGCGCATGTGTCAGCTGGCGCAGCTCCATTCATTTGAACGAGAGACTTCAAAAATTCACAGAAAGTAAACTAGAGTGGTCCAAAAAAAAGCACCCCCCTCAGCATTGACACACATGTGGAACAGAGCTTTGGGCCAAGAGCCAACTTTTGGTCCATCCTGTAAAGACGTTGCTATATGTTAGCATTGGCTAATTCTTATTCCGGGTCCACCCCCATCGGCCCGGGGTGGTATTGCAAGCATGTCAGCGCACGTCATTTTGGCCACTTTTGAGCCGGGACCCGCCCCCACTGGACAGTACACATTAATCAACATTGCTGTAAATGTGCCAGTATTAGCTATACAACTAGTTTCCAACTCTAGTCCCAAGGCAAGGTGTAAAATACAAGCAAGTTTTGATACTTTGCTTCTTTAGCGTAATGAAGAAGCAAGTATAAAATCTCCAACTTTAGCGTGATAAAGTTGGAGATTTTAAGCTTGCTTCTTTATTGCGCTAAAGTAAGAGATATTATACTTAGTTCAGTTTAGTTTATTAATGGAATGCCCCTTAAGATGTGCCATGTTGTTTTCGAGGTGGTCCATAGACACAAAACACAGATTAGAATGAAGAAAACACAGTGCAATATACAAACAGGACGAAACATGCATCAGGACAGTCACACGCTAAATAAACTTGGCTCCATCGTCCTCCCATACTTGCTTCTTTATCATGCTAAAGTTAAAGATTACACACTTTCCTCCCTGCTATGCTTAAGTTAAAGATTTTATACTTGCTAAAGTTAGAGATTTAAAAAACATTTTTTTTATTTGTCTTGTGTTTGTCTTAGTAATGATTTTGATGCTTTCAATAACCTCACTCAGGATTTAAATTGGAGTTTAAAGGTGCTGGTCAGGTGCTTTTCAGTTAAAGATGTGGTAGAAAACCTCGGAAAATAAGCCTTTTTGAAAGTTTAGGGTGGAAACAATCAAACTAAATAATGACAGAACTAATTTGCAATGGATGAAGTTGTTTAAAGCATCATTACAGGCATCTTTAATACTTTGTTTCTCTCACAGGTGGAAGGAACGGATACGGAGCCAAATTGTGCAACATCTTCAGCACCAAGTTTACAGTGGAAACAGCCTGCAAGGAGTACAGGCACAGCTTCAAACAGGTACGGAAATGTCCACACTAAACTATTAATCGGTTAATAGCAACTAATAATGTTTTTTGGTAGAGTCAACAGCTATTTTTGTCTCTGATTCATTGTTTTGTATTTAATTTTATTTTTAAATCAACATTATAATCAATAATACCAAAGAGAGAGACAAACATATGACAACATAATAAAATACAGCAAGCAGCAAAGAAACAGACAGAGCAGGAAAGACTGGACACGCAACGGGAAACATTAAAGTGTGTGTGTGTGTGCGTGTGTGTGGGTGTGTGTCATTGATTCATTGTTAAAGCCGGGGTACCTAACCACCCCTCACTATTTTAGTATTCCATGTTTGTTCCAACAGAAAGGGTCTCATAAATGTAACATGCAAGGTAAATCTATATATAGAACCAACATTTTTTATAGCGAGGAACTATAGTGAGATGGATTTTATTACATAGTTGGATGTATTAGTTATTTTTAGTTGTTTGAAAGTTGTGCACCCCGGCTTTAAATTCCCATTAATGTAGATAGCAAACCATGTAGGTTATGTGTTACATGATTTTAACTCTCAAACAGAGCAGGAACAACATCAAAATGAATGGGACGTGTGTAAATGTAATGTTCTTTAATGCTGAAATAGTTAGTTTGGAAAGATCACTGGTATGTCTGTCTTTAAAAAGTCATAACTGTTTATTTGTTAATTTTTGTCTCTTTTTGTCTTAAATTTTAACATAGAGTCTGTAATAACGTTGTATTGAAATTGAAAAGAGTCTTCTAGGACGTTTCCCAGAGGCTCCAGTTCAGATCTATCTCGGTCAAATTGAGAAAACACATTCATATTTTCAGCCTAAATTCCAAAATCAAGAGATTAATGCATGACTGGTGATTTGAATCTCTAATTAGCGGTTAGTTCCAGCTCTAATGGACACATGTGAGAGATGCGGTTGTGTTTGCTTCTGCTGCTGTGACAATGCTCGGTGTGACCTGCTGTTTTTGTAGGACGTGCGCTCGTGATAAGGTAGGCCCTCACTGCTTTGAGGTCGCGGGCACAAGGCTTTACCTGCACATGCTGGGGGATCTAAATGTAAAAAGTTCATTTTGTCTATGTTGTTTAATTGGCTGGGAGAACTCTTCTGTCTACTGTAGGGGATAGCATTCACACAACACCGCTTTTCTGGGTGAAATGAGAAAGTTTTGTCACATACACTAGAATGAATGTCATATATTTGTATACCTCCATCATTGCTTTTTTCATTGGATCCTTCCACATTTAAAGATAAGTTGTTTCCATTATCAAATGCAGTCATGTTTTTGTGTTTCCTTAAACCTTTAGGTGTCAAAGGAGCAGGTATACACCAGGACACTTCTCCAAATCGATCTGGCTTCCCACAGACATTTCCTAACAGTTTTCATACACATTTTACTCTTGTATATATTTCTGTTATTGATTTTAACAGTCTTTTATCTCTTTTAAAGTTTCAGGGCTCCATATATTGTCAATTTCACTTTCAATTTCTTAAGAATAAGGGTTATTTTGCTATGGCTTCTATGATCTATGTTTCAAAACAACCCCTAGAAAAGGCTACATCAACAGTTATGTTTTGGGTGTAACTCATGGCATACATCAAGCAGACGACCATATCTTGCCAAAGTTGCTAAAGCCACAACATTTGCTTTTTAAAAAAAAGTATCGAATTGAATTTTTTTAAAGAACAATTGTAAAAACAAACAGACACGCTCAGCGCAGAAACCAAAATGAAATACAAAAACCAAACATATTTAGAAAAGATTTTGACCTAAGATATTTGCTACAAAGAAAATCTACCAACCAAAATAATTTCACAAACTTCTCTTTAAGTCTCTGCCGTTGGGGAGAAAGGTCTGAAGGTCGGTCACTTGCACACCAACATACACTGTCAGCGACCGTTAGAAATCGATGATCCTCAAACGGCTACAGGTCTCATTTCTGATCTGTTTGTGCTTGTCCCAGACGTGGCAGAACAACATGACCAAGACGGCGGACCCCAAGATCAAGTTCTTTGACGGGGAGGACTTCACGTGCGTGACCTTCCAGCCGGACCTCTCCAAGTTCAAGATGGAGAAGCTGGACAAGGACATCGTGGCCCTGCTCACGCGCCGAGCCTACGACATCGCCGGCTCCTGTAAAGGCGTCAAAGTCTCACTCAACGGGAAAAAACTGCCTGTGAGTGCAGCCTGGAAATCACACATTAAAACCTATTAATTGTTTAGAATCACAGTGTATGTTTTAGATTCAGAGCTTATATTGGAAGATAGTCATTCCCCAGGTTAGAGATCTAGTACACAGCTCTTGGCGTTTTCCAGAGTTTTATCACCATTTTGTTGTTGTTGTTGTTGTTGTTGTTGTTGTTGTTGTTGTTGTGAAAGCGCTTATAAACTTATCATAGTGGATATTTCAAAGACGTGGAGTAGATGGCAACAAATTGAACCAAATCTTTATAATCTCAGAGACCTTGGATCCTCCTGGTTCCAAGGACAGTGGTGATGACTCTTGACGTTCAATGACATTTATGGACTTTATGAACATTTATGGACATTGGTCATCTGCCCCTTATGGATCAATGGCTATGATTTTTTTATCATTGCATTTCTTGTGTTGTGATTCTTTGATCTGTGTTGGCGATTCAACGGTTTTGTAGAGTCCTCCGAGATGACTACTCTTGTGATTTAGGCTTACACAAAAATACATTGAATTGAATAGAAACCTCTCGTTTTCCCGGTGCAGGTGTCCAGCTTCCGCAACTACGTGGACCTGTACGTAAAGGACAAGGTGGACGAGACGGGCGTGTCGCTGAAGGTGGTCAACGAGGCGGTGAACGAGCGCTGGGACGTGTGCCTCACCATGAGCGAGAAGGGGTTCCAGCAGATCAGCTTCGTTAACAGCATCGCCACCACCAAGGTACCATCTGCACCCACTTGGAGGAAGCGGATGAGTTTATTTATTTGACAAAAGCGGGGGGTGATCTGCTTTTGGGGTCGACTGGGGCATAAGATTTTGACTTGAAGCATCTATCAATTTTCATGTCTCCACTCTCCTACATTCAGAATGCTGTTTGGTACTTATAGTTGTCTCATTCACTGTAGCCCCAGGAACGTTACATCATTTCAAAAGAATCATTGTATTTGATGTAGCAAAATGTAAGTCTTAAAAGAGTTACATTTGTAAACAAATCATGAAAAGGACATGACATTTGAGAGATTCTGCCAGTGAATAACTATGAAATGTCTGATCCCCAAATTGCCCTGTATACGATTATGTAATATTCCAAATTGACTCTACGTTTGTGTAAGCTCTCAGTCGTATGTATTGAGTGGTGGCTGCTTCATTGGTTGGTTTGATGAAGGTCTTGACAAGAAGAAAAGGCAGTTCAGTTCAATTCCGTTTATTTGCCATTTGCAGTAACAAAACCACATTGGAATACATTAGCAAAAAGTCACCAGTGTGCACAGACAAATACAGTCATAAAACAACATTAAAAGACAGAAAAAGACAGCAGTAGTGTTTGGACAGTATGATAAGATTTGAATGTTTTTACAAAGAGCGTTCTTAACATTTGTCATTGCTTATCAGTGGCAGTGGAATTCTTTTTCCCTAAAAGACATGATACATACATTTGACCCAATCAAACCTGCAATATTTCTTTCTTTATGACTAGGTATACAGTATCTATACATGTCAATTCCAGCTTATTGTGGTTGTGTTTTTTGTTTTATTAGCTTTTTTTCTCAATATGTGAATTCATTGTCACATTTGAACTCATAGCTCATCATGTTGCCTTATTGGGGAATAGAAAAAGGTTTTCTTCCATGATTCAAAATGTAATGAAAAACCCCAAACTTATCTCTAAATGAACTTCTCAAGTGTCTGACCTGAGCTGCTCTCGATCATCCTTCAGGGAGGCCGGCACACAGACTACGTGGTCGACCAGATCGTCTCCAAACTGATCGAAGTGGTGAAGAAGAAGAACAAGGCCGGAGTATCGGTCAAACCCTTCCAGGTGCAGTACCCGACTTTACCACTGTGCGATGGCCATGAGCGCTGGACAAACTGGCCTCTGTCTCCTGCAGGTGAAGAACCACATCTGGGTGTTTGTGAACTGTCTGATCGAGAACCCCACCTTCGACTCCCAAACCAAGGAGAACATGACGCTGCAGATGAAAAGCTTCGGCTCCAAGTGCATACTCTCCGAGAAGTTCATACGTGCTGTAAGAGCCTGGTTTTACATTCTTATTGTCTTGATTGTTTAATGGTTTTTATTGGTTTCTACTAAGCATTGAGTATTTGGGAAAGAGAGCATACTGTATGAAATTTGCATCTATGAAAGCTTTAATATATGGAAGAAAATACAATTTGTGTGTTAGAATGGCTCAGTCAAAGTCCAGTAATTTCAGTAAATCATAAACATTTATTTTACATTGATTTTATTTTGGTTATCAACATGACGACATGTGCAAAAGTTTAATCTGTATTAATACTTTTGAGAGTCACTGGATAGAAAAAAAATACTTTTAAATAAAAACATGTGAAAAGACCTGAAAACTGGTGTTCAAAAACGCTCTCCATCTAATCTGACGGAGGTTGAGTTGTTTTGTAAAGAGGAATGGGAAAAAAAGTTCAGTCTCTCGGTGTGAAAATCTTGCTGAGCAGTACCCCAAAAATCTTGCTGCTCTGATGATGCACGGCCACTTATTCAAACTCAGGTTTTTAGCACTGACTTCAGTTTATTATTTTGTCAGTCTGTTATTTTTTTGTGGTTTGTAGAAACATGAAACAATTTCCAAAAGTTCAAATCATATTAGTGCTTTTTGCAAACCACTAAATTTGAACCAAAATCTTTCCAAATTGGTAAGTTGTGTTTTCTTTTGTTTTTAATGACTAGCCAAAAAACATGGCTACAATTTGTTAGTATTTTCCAGTTTGTTGTATCCTTTGTTGCAGCAGAAATTATATTCTCTGTGTCCAAACGCAGTCTTCAAAGTGCGGTTGTTTTTTATTTCCTCAAGGCGACCAACTGTGGGATCGTGGAGAGCATTCTGAACTGGGTGAAGTTCAAGGCGCAGACGCAGCTGAACAAGAAATGTTCCTCAGTGAAGCACAGCAAGATCAAGGGCATCCCCAAACTGGACGATGCCAACGATGCCGGTGTGTACTGCCCCCTGGTGTTCTGTTCACGCCACACAGAAATAATGACATTGAATAGAAATGTTTACCAGCTCATGCGAATGGGATACATCTAACATTGGCCACATTGCTTATGCTCTGGAGTCGTGTGGATTATAAATACTGTCTCTGATCGTCGCACAAGGTTTTGATACATGTTTCCAGCCTCAAACTTTTCATGTGGTAATAAAAAAAACAAAAATAATAATACATTGTACATGACTATGTATTTTCATCTTTTTATTTAGTTTCTTGTTTATAAAATAAAAAAGATGAAAATAAATAGTTATGTGTTGGCAGTTTTTAACAGGTGGGTTTTGAGCAGTGAAAAATTATAAAATTGTGATTGTTTACATCCAATGGTGGCGTTAAATTTCCCCTAAACGGCTTTGAAAACTTTGGTCCTGGTGTGTAGACTTTATTCCTGCTCTTGTCCAGATTGGGTTGTGGATTCTCTTAAGTCTGCAGTTTTCAGTTGACTTTAAATAAAATACTCATTGACGATGTCCTCATGATGTGTTCCTTGGTTCCAGGAGGGAAGCACTCGTCAGAATGCACCCTGATCCTAACTGAAGGAGACTCGGCTAAGACTCTGGCCGTATCTGGGCTGGCTGTGATTGGCCGAGATCGATACGGCGTGTTCCCGCTCCGAGGGAAAATCCTCAACGTCAGAGAGGCCACACACAAACAGGTGTCGACTCGTTCTTTTTGACAGTTACAGCTTTGTTAAAAACCAGATACAGACGCTTGTTCACTCTTCAAACAGATTATGGAGAATGCGGAAATCAACAACATCATCAAAATCGTAGGTCTTCAATACAAGAAAAGCTATGACGACGCAGAGTCTCTCCGATCTCTACGCTACGGCAAGATCATGATCATGACCGATCAGGTAACTACTTTCAATATTTTCCTAATCGCACTAAAACATGATGGGAGTAAGACAGGGCAAGTTTATTTGTATTGCACAGTTCATACACAAGGCAACTCAAAGTGCTTACAAGAAAAAATACAAGGAATCATAAATAAACACAGTACATTAGAAATAGTGAAGATTGTCAGAGAAGAAGCCTTTCTCACAATTTCAGGAAGACTGATCTAGATTTTTGCTGCATATATGTGAAATGCTGCCTCTCCATGTTTAGTTCTGACTCTGGGCACCAGCAGGATGCTCCCCAGAGTCCGAGTTGGTTCATATGGCATTACCTTGTCTCAGATGTACTTTGATGCGAGGCCGTGGAGAGACTTGCAACAAGCAGAACTGATTTAAAGTCTGTTCTCTGAGCCACAGGACCTTAGAACTGGACTAATGTGATCGTACTTCCTGGTTCTAGATAGGACTGAGCAGGCCATTACAGTAGTCTAACCTACTGGAGATAAATGCATGGATAAGAATCTACAAGTCTGCTTTATGTTTTTTAGGTGGAAAAAAGCTGCTGATCTTACTGATTTGATGTGGCTGTTATAATTTAAGTCTGAGTCCAATATTACCCCTAGACTTTCAGACCTGATTTGAAGGTTTTAGGGACAGAAACTGGGGATGACACGCTTTGTGAGACAATCATTTTAGTTTTGTCTGAGTTTAGCTGAAGTAAGTTTGAGTAAGAGCATTGAACAGTTTTCTTCCGTCTTTGATTCCCCAGGACCAGGACGGCTCTCACATCAAAGGGCTGCTCATCAACTTCTTCCACCACAACTGGCCGTCTCTGCTCAGGCACACATTCCTGGAGGAGTTCATCACGCCCATTGTCAAAGTGAGAATAAGTGAATTTGAAATCTTACACTAACGTCACTCCGAGACTAAAGCGGTGTCTGTGTGCTCCTAGGTGAACAAGAACAAGCAGGAGCTGTCCTTCTACAGCATCCCAGAGTTTGACGAGTGGAAGAAAAATACAGAGAACTTCAAAACTTGGCATATAAAGTACTACAAAGGTCTGAGCTTTTATATCGACAAAAATGTGTGAATTATTAAAAATGTTAAAACTTCACAATTGAAGTTTTAGTACCCACAAGTACCCACGTCAAGTAGTAAGTCAAGTACCCACATGTCAAGTACCCAAACTACAGCTCTGGGGTGACCAGATTGGGAAAACAAACTGGTTCCGAGCAGGTCCCCAGGTTAACGCTGGACTCACTTGAGGAAATGTGTGCAGTCTGTTGTGCTCCTGCTTGGTTGGAATGAAAACCTGCAGTGCTGTCCCACGGGCCCTTTTAGGACCGGTTTGACAGCCTTGACCACCCCTGAGAGTGTGACTCTCAGGTTCCTGGCTCTTGGATTGGAATTAGTTAAATTGAAAGTCAGACTACACATGAAATCCCTCTTCACACACCCTCACATTGCTTCTAGCATTTGCGGTTTGTAGATACAAATTCTACAGATACAGGAGAAAGGTAGAATCACAAAAAAAAAAAAGTATTTATTGATATATGACATAGAACCATTACCGGCAAAGTGACATATGCAAAGATGTTTACAAGCTGTACGCCAATTATTTTAACTAAAGAAACTCAACATTGTGTGTTATAAATCTCATATAAAGGTATTTGTTTCACATTGCAAGTAAATGGATTTTTGATTGATATTCTCATTTTTTGAGTTTTGAGAAAGAAAGGCTGACAGACTTTGAGAATTTTCCCTGTTGTTTAAGCTGAGGCTGAGGCTGCACTGAACATTATCTTGAATCTTGAAGTGCACAGGACACTTTTAATGTCCCAATTAGACTTGAGATTCTTTTGATTCAGCGATTTCAGCCGGTAATGGGAGAAAAACCAGGTTCACAAAGCTGGATGAGTGAGGCAGGGTAGGAATCCCATCTCGTATTAGTGCTTTATCGAACAGTAGCTCAGTACTGGGTAGTAGTGGCGATTGGCTATAGTTGGAAGCAGAACAGTTGTAATGGAAGTCAGTATTTTTGACATTTTTGAATCTGATATGATTATATATGTTATACTTGCAAAAGGCAACGTAGTTGTAACTGTCACCGCCACCATCACAAGTTTTGAGATATATGCCAATTTCAATAATGTTTCCAACAGATAATCTTCAGTGTCACCTTCTTTCATTTCATTGTATTCTCATTGCATTACTGCTGTTTCAGGTTTGGGTACAAGCACAAGCAAAGAGGCTAAAGAGTATTTTGCCGATATGGAGAGGCACCGAATCTCCTTTAAATACAGTGGAGCCGAAGACGACGCCGCCATTACTCTGGTCAGGACCATTTCAGTGACCTCCTCTGTTTATTAGTGCAACAAAACTATGAAGCTCAAACAACTCTTCTTTTGTGAACTCCAGGCCTTCAGTAAGAAGAAGACGGACGACCGCAAAGAATGGCTGACCAACTTCATGGAGGACCGGAGGCAGCGGAGGATGCATGGGCTGCCGGAGGTGAGATCCATATATTTGCATTATTGTCATACATCACCTTCTTGTATAAAGTGTGAACAAGGCCATGAATTGGACTTGGGACAAATGTAAGACACAATATTCAAGGGGTGTCTCTGTCACATCAATCTTGTTTGGACTAGTTTAAAATCTCGAGTTGCACACTGTCATGTTAAAAAGCTCTGTACCCTCGCACTCTTGCTGAAAAAGTGAAAAGAAACGCCAGTTAAATTGTGCCTCAGTCTCTTTTTTCCACAACAGAGTTCTAATCATTGCTTTTCCCTTTAGAAATTCTTGTATGGAACTCAAACCAAACACTTGTCCTACAACGACTTCATCAACAAAGAGCTGATTCTCTTCTCAAACTCAGACAACGAAAGATCCATCCCATCCTTAGTCGATGGTGCGTATACTATTCTAACCCTGGCGTGTTTAAAACTCTCACACCTCTCCTGAGTCTCTAAGAACCCTCTGCTGTGTTTCAGGCCTAAAGCCCGGCCAGAGGAAAGTCCTGTTCACGTGTATGAAGAGGAACGACAAGCGGGAGGTCAAGGTGGCACAGCTGGCCGGTTCAGTGGCCGAAATGTCGGCCTATCACCACGGAGAGGTGCGTCTGCTTTAGCTGTGGGATCAGACTGGAATACAAGCTGTAGACCGACCAATATGGGGTTCAGAGGCTGATGGCTGGCTTTAAATGCAGATTTTTGTTTATTATTGTTATTATTTTATTTTATTTTATCAAGGTACATCAACATAAATAAGGAAATTTCATAATGTTTATGGATATTGATGGGAAAAAAACATATTTTATAGGGACTGAGAGGAAAACCTATTGGCTCTTGTTTATTTGTTCAAAATATCTCTCATAATGTGAAAAAGTAAATCATAAAAATAACCACAAATGATTGAGATAAGAGTTTTTTAACCATATTTATGTATTACTTATTACTAATTATGTTTTTGTTGTTTTTTGTTTTGTTGATTAGAGTAAAATAAATTATGTGCATATCTGCATTCAAAATTAGGTATTACATGCCATTATTTCAAAAATATACGCAAAACCTCCCACTGATCTCTATAAAACAGGGGTCACCGACCTTTTTGAAACCAAGAGCTACTTCTCCGGTACTGATTAATGCGAAGGGCTACCAGTTTGTTACACACTTACATAAATTGCCAGAAAAAGCCAATTTGCTCAATTTACTTTTAACTCTGTTCATATTAATAATTAATGATATTTATCTTTGTGAAAACACTGATCATCTTAATGATTTCTCACAATAAATATATATAGAAACAGATAAATATCAATATGCAACATTTTTCAAATTGAACATTTTCAAAACAACATCAGAACATTTATTGTGAAATCACAATATCCCATTTTAACCAACTAGCCACTAACATTTTTTAACAAATCATGAATTACGTTGCACCATGTTTATACAAATAATAACTCATGTAAAATACAAAAGTCAACATCACACGTGATGGTGATCTCACAGGAGTTTAGAAACCAAAGCAGTCCCATTTACGCTGCTACTTTCTCCTTTTCTGAACAAAAACAACAGTGAAGCTGTTTGAGATCATTACATGTGTTTCTACTGTAGGTTTATGTGACAGTTCTAAACTCATCGTTTCAACTCATTTAACTCTGATGTTGTGAATAAAGACACAGTTCTTGTTGGAAACATAGTTATTATTGAAGTGTATTCAGCACAAACAGATAATCAATAAGTGGTAAATATCTGAGAAAAACACCAACTATAAGTGCAGTAGGAATGGAACAGACGCGATAAGCTACGATTCAAACAAGACAGGAACAGTGCAAAAGAAACAACTGCACAGTTTATAAGTTATATCAGGCTCTGCCATGAGACCAAACTACTTTTCCTTCAGTTCCTTCGAAGCACAAAGCGGTCTGCTCCGAAGTGCCTCGTCCGTGCTCCCTGCAGCCGCTCCATGCTTCCGTCCAAAACACACACACGGACCAATCACAGCGGAGCTCCTCTCACACACGGACCAATCACAGCGGAGCTCCTCTCACACACGGACAATCACAGCGGAGCTTGTCTGCGGCGTCGGCCGCGTAGTATTTGAGGGTGCGTGGCAGGCTACGTAAGGGCCTTGCGGTGATCCATGCGTTGCGCAAGTGACGTCACGTCACCTCCGTAAGCTCCGCGCAGCGCACTAGGCTTGAGTGCTTCTATTTGAGCTATTTTTAGAACAGGCCAGCAGGCGACTCATCTGGTCCTTACGGGCGACCTGGTGCCCGCGGGCACCGCGTTGGTGACCCCTGCTATAAAACATGAAGTATTATTTCAATACCTAAAGTCCAGCTGCCTCAGCATCTGCATAATGTAATTCTGTTGTGTCGTGCAGCAAGCCCTCATGATGACCATCGTGAACTTGGCCCAGAACTTTGTGGGCAGTAACAACATCAACATCCTGCAGCCACTGGGTCAGTTCGGTACTCGCATCAACGGAGGCAAAGACGCTGCCAGCCCCCGTTACATCTTCACCATGCTGAGGTAACAAGGCTGGAACACACTCACACTGTTATTCAAATCTGTTAACTACCGTACGACTGGTGCAAATGTATAGAATGGTAGAATGATGTTTATGTTGATCAATTAAAAGCTGGTTTTAATTGTGCTGTCAGCAGGATAAAAAAAACACTTCAACATTTTCATTTTCTGTATTTTCCCCCCACAGCCCTTTGGCCAAGCTGCTGTTCCCTGCCGTGGACTCCAACCTGCTCAAGTTCCTGTTTGACGATAACCAGAAGGTGGAGCCAGAGTGGTACATCCCCATCCTGCCCCTGGTGCTGGTGAACGGAGCCGAGGGCATCGGCACAGGCTGGGCCTGCCGCATCCCCAACTACGACCCCCGCGAGATCGTCAACAACATCAACAGGATGCTCAAGCACCAGGACCCTCTGCCCATGGTGAGTGTGGACACTAGTGCTGGACACCTGAGGACGTTTGGTACAGTTACAGTATGACTCCAATTACAGTAATATCTTGGAGCATCTTCCATCTGCTTGTCCTCATGTTTTTCTTTATTGTTTGCAATTTTTAAAGTAGTTAAACAAAATGAGAACCACTATTGTAAACAGAACCTCCTTAAAACCTTTAATACTTAGCCCATGTTATTTTTCCTAAAGTAGAATGTTTTAAACAAATCAGACCACAACATGCTGTCTTCATCTTACATGTACTGTTTTTTTAATACTTTTATGCTAAGAAAGAGCCCTGTGAGTCACCATTTGATGCTTTGGGCTGAGATCTGATAATCAATTTTTCTGTCTGAAAAATCTGATCGAAAGATGTGACAGAGGCCAAAAACCTAGGGATGGAACCAAACTGTTCTGGGAGTGAGGACTTTACTGTACTCGCTTGGTCTAATGAAATCATCCATCCAAACACTGCGCTGGTTGAAGATTATTAAAACTGAAGACTAAATCTCCATTGTTTTCCACAGCTCCCCAGTTATAAAGGATTCAAAGGTATTATCCATGAACTGGGTCAGAACCAGTACCTGATGAGCGGCGAAGTGTCCGTAATCGACAAAAACACCATCGAGATCACAGAGCTGCCCGTCCGCACCTGGACACAGGTCTGTCACACACACAAACACACAAACACACACACACCAGCTCGTGCAATGTGGCCTGTAGTTTGTTGTTTGTAACTCTTTGTATTGTGGATCCTCAGGCCTATAAGGAGTCTGTGCTGGAGCCCATGGTGCAGGGCACAGAGAAGACCCCCGCTCTCATCAACGACTACAAGGAGTACCACACCGACACCACGGTCAAGTTTGTGGTGCGCATGTCTGAGGAGAAGCTGGCCCAAGCCGAGGCCGCGGGTCTGCACAAAGTCTTCAAGCTCCAGTCCTCCCTCACCTGCAACTCTATGGTACCAGTCCACTCTGAATGTGGTGGTGTTAGTTTGTGTACAACTTATTTGTGGCAGAGATGGGTAGCTCCAAAGTAGACAACAAAATATGTTTTAAATCCAAACAGAACATTGAACAACAAATTACCCTACTTTATATTACATTTCAGCTGCAGTAGATTTCTCAATGTATTGAATGGGACTTTCAGCTTGAACTTTCCCTGAACCAGGGACAGGATGAAAATGCTGTCCTAATGAAGTCAGTAGTGAAGTCAGGCCCAAAATACATTTGACTTGTTTTAACTTGTTTGTTCCTTATACTAAACACAGGGTTCCTACAGGGTCTTGAAAAGACTTGAGCAATGAATTTATGAATTAAGAAATAATTCATACATTTGTTCAGTATCTAACCTCTCTATGTCTCATTCTCTTCAAGTTTAAGTTTTCTTTTGATTAAATAATGTAGCCCAAATTAAAGGGCACACAGTAACACTGCCTCGGATCCAAACTACATTACAGACACAGACGGCAAACAAGAAATCATTTTCACATTTGTTAATGAAGTAAATGAATGCTGTTAGCTCTATGAAATTGATATTAGGTTTGTTTTAAAAATGCTCTTAAATATTACTTGATGAAACCTGTAGGAACCTTGTAAATAAACTTTGGAGGCCACATATTTTAGACATTTGCAGCTTGTGTCAACAAAGGTTAATTTCAAGTGCGTTAAAATGAATATGGTCAACAATTACGGCATAGATTAGTATTGTCTCAAAAGTCAAATTACAAAAACTATTTCAATATGAATGAAAAAATATATATTTAATATTCTATTTTTCAGATCACGTTTACACCTCCATCTTTTCCCCCAATTTTTCAAGGTTCAACATTCTAAAGCAGTGGAGGAGGATTCTCTTGTTTTGTAAAGCCCATGCTCTGTTTTAGCCATGATTATACTTGATGATGTGGTCTTGCACATCTCTAGAAACTAATCGAGAGTCTGCCCACACTTGCCGCAGGTGCTGTTCGACCACATGGGCTGCCTGAAGAGGTACGACTCTGTCAACGAGATCCTGAAGGAGTTCTTTGAGCTGCGGCTGCACTACTACAAGCTCCGCAAAGACTGGCAGCTGGGCAGCCTGGGAGCAGAGGCGTCCAAACTGTCCAACCAGGCTCGCTTCGTCCTGGAGAAGATTGAGGGAAAGCTCACAATCGGTGAGGCTTTCCCAGACGCTCCCATTTCCAGACCAAACCTTGGGACCCATTTTAACAAACTTTTCTTTCGACAGAAAACAAGACGAAGAGGGAGCTGATTCGTATGCTGGTGCAGAAAGGCTTTGAGTCCGATCCGGTGGCCGCGTGGACCAAGGCACAGGAAAAGGTACCAGTCTAACTGTGTGTTTCTAGATGTTCAAAAACGCAAGAGTTAAAACCTTGATCCACTTACAGATGGGCCAGTAGAAAGAATTCTCTCTGAGAGGTATAATTCTAAAAATCTAAACTCAAAAAAATAAACGGTGGGCAAAAGTAAGAAACCTCAGAGGCCCATATTGAGATATCAGGAAACTTGTTAAAGTAACTAACCTAATGCATTTTGCAGTGTGTTTGTTTGTGAAATTGCAATAAATACATGTTTGTTGCTCTGGGCTTAAGTGTATGGTCACCAGAGAAATTGCGTCTTGATTTGAGCATCACGACAGCTGCCGAACTTGTATGTGGTAAATGTTTGACAGTTCCACGAGGAGGATAAGGACAGCAGCGACAGCGACAGCTCCGTGGACTCGGGCTCCTCCTCAGGACCAAACTTTAACTACATCCTCAACATGCCTCTGTGGTGCCTGAGCAAGGAGAAGGTGGACGAGCTGCTCAAGCAAAGGGACCTCAAGGTACTCCCTCCTCTACTATCTTATTCACTGAGTCAGGAGACATGTTTGTAATGTGTGTTGTTGTACAGAGGGGAGAGCTGCACGAGCTGCAGAAGAAGTCTCCGGAAGATCTGTGGAAGGAGGACCTTGCCGTGTTTATCGAGGAGCTCACGGTGTGTTTAAGAACTCTCACAGTATTTCACCATTTTACATAAGCCTCATCATTTAAGGTTCTCTCACTCTACGCTGTTTGAATGTAATTTTTTTCCAGTATTTGTCTCCAGTTCTTCCACAAAATGTAGAAATTTAATTATGTATACATTTTCATTTAAAACTATATGCTTTATAGCAAAATTCATGCAGTGCTTTACAAAGACATAAAATCACACACATTTACAATCCTAAAATTTAATGTCAGAACTTATGTCAGATTTTATACTAAATAATAAAACTCCAAATACACAGACAGTGGTTTTCATATTAACATGTATGATATAATATAACCTTAAAACACAAAATTATACTTTCATTGTTTCGGGCCTTTTTGCTAAAATAATTTTTATATTGATTAGAAATATAGATCTGGAGTGTGTGTCTTTTGAAAAATGGATTGAAATTGGAAAAATGTCCTTAATTTAGTTTTCTTTCATCAGAACCTTGAAACCATGGAGCGTGAGGAGCAGAGCGCGGGCCGAGCCATCAAATTGGTCAAAGGCAAAGTAGGAAAACCCAAAGTGAAAAAGATGAACCTGGAGGAGACCATGCCCTCGCCGTGGGGCCGCAGGGTGGACCCCCCCTCACAGCCAATCAAATCTGAAGCCACCAAGAAGGGCCTGGGCCGGAAGAAGAAGGTACCTGTGTAACATAAGCTTTATGGGGACATACTAATAATAATAATACATTTTATTTCTTAGGCGCCTTTCGAGATACTCGAGGTGGCCTTACATTACAAGTAAAAAGTACATTTAAAAACAGTTAAAAGTTAAAAGCAGCATAAACAGAGGATGGTGTAGTTACGGTGTGAGTGAATAGGCTTGTCGAAAGAGTTGAGTACTAGAACTACTACTACATTCAATTACATTTATTCTTGAACAGCCCTAAATCACAACCGTTGTTATCTCGGTGGACTTAACAAAACCGTTGAATTTGCCAACACAGATCAGAGAATCAAACAGTTCAAACACAAGAAATGCGATGATAAAAACACATAGAGCCATTGGTCCAAAAGGGGCAGATGACCAATGTCCATGCATTTGGATGAAACTCCATAAATGTTGGTGAATGTTAAGTGTCCTGGATCATCACCATAGTCCTTTTAGTTAGACCCAGACAGGGGTCCAACAGACCCTCCTGCATTGGAAAGGAACAATTCTAACACCCAGTGGGCACAAAGGGCCTCAAGGACAAAGTTCCGACTAAATATGCAGTAATAGAGTCATTCTTCATCAAAAGTAAAGTCTCCATGAATCCTGAGTGTGTCTTGTGTTCTGTCAGGGGGACAATGACCCGTCTATGAAGCTGGAGCTGGATGAGGACGGGCCGGGGGCAGAGGGAGGAGGAGGCGATGGTCCTGCTCCAGCTGCAAAACCAAAGACTCCACGCGTCAAGAAAGAGAAAAAGGAACCAGGTCAGTGCACTTTTGAACACCTTTAACGACAGACAGAAAGACGTTCACCTGAAATTCTGACTCCCCATCTTTTGTCCCTGTGCTCGTTTGAGTTTAATTTACTTGAACACTTTAAACACATTATCCAAAATCTACTCGTTATGTCACCTCAAATGCAGCATGGAACATTATATGCATTCTTTACACACAAAAGGCCTCATTTATAAATTGCATTTTCACATAATGTACAGGTGAAAATTTGAAAATTGTTAAAAAAAGTCCATTTTACTTCTATAATTCAACTAATAAAACTGACAGATTCGTTACAGGTAATAAGATGAATCCAGTAAAAACCCCAAATAGATAATCTGTTTATAATATTTTGAAAATGGATTGTTAGCCACAACTATCAAAATTACAACAATGAAAAGTTACAGAAATGAATTAACTTTCCTAAATTAACTTTTAATTTTCTAATTTTCTGAGCTTCGGATATAGATGTATTTGACACATCCCTCCCGTCACAGTCACACTATTGTTTATAAAAGTAAAAAGGTCCATGTCACTCTTTCTCTGCTGATGCCCGGTGCTAACGTCTGCAGGAGCGCCCCGCGTGAGGAAACCAGCGGCGCCAAAAGGAACGCCCAACAAGAAGGTGAAGAAGAGGAACCCCTGGTCTGACGCAGAGTCCCAGTCCGACTCAGACCTGGAGGATGACAAGGAGCCACTGGTGATCCCCCGAGAGACCAAGTCCCAGAGGCAATCAGGTACTCACCCTACTGGGAGCTTTGCAAGTGGTTTTCTGGGAAATAACATTATATACAATTTTTAAACAAACTTTATGTAGAAATATTTATTTTTCAAATTTAACTTTTTCTGACCAAAATGCGTACATGCTTGGACAGGAACAAAATATTGAAGACAGATTTATTTGTAATATTGTGTTCTGGGTTCAATGTTTAGAATAGAACATATGATATAGGGGTTTTATTGAGATAAAATGAGATGAGGTACTTAAATAATGGAATAATGCTTAGTAGCACATAATAATCTGTAAACACACCTCTCCATGGTCTCGTCCACTGTTCAGACATGCTTAAATATTTTTACTTTCAAACGGTTTTTTCTCCTCTCTGCTTTAAAGCTGGGGCACCTAACTGCCAACACCTGACCCAAGAAATTGAACTATGTACTACAATCCTTGCCACTAGTTCCTGACTCTAAAAACTGTTTTGTTCCATCACAAGTTTTCACATCCATGAATTTTTGGCCACAAAATAAAAACAGAGAGGACCACCCCCATCACTTACCTGTTTTCTAACACAATGAAAACATCATGTTGTGGTCTGATCTGTTCACATCATTTTACAGACTCTTTCTGTTTGAACAAACAACATGTATTATCAATGGAACAGAAAAGTTAGGTTCCCCAGCTTTAAGTTTTTATTAAATGTAAATTTCCAAGCTCAATTCAGAGTTATCCCTGTCCATTCTACCCGTCACTCATCCAACATGGTGTAACATACTCTCTCCCTACAGCCTCCAAGCCCAAGTACACCTTCGACTTCTCCGAGGAGGAAGGAGGCGGCGAGGAGGAGGAGGAGAACGGAGAGGAGGACACGGCCACGTCCCCCGCTCGCTCCTACAGCGAGGACTTTACGCCATCGGAACCCAAACAGAAGCACTCCTCCTTCAACGACCACAACGAGGACGAGGACGAGGAAGAGGAGGCCTTCTCCAGCCCGCCGCTCAAGTCCACGTAAGACAGCGGCACTTTACTCCAGTGATGACGATTGAAATAATGTTCTAATTTATTACCACGGTTAAATTATCCTAAAGTTATTGTATTTTATTATAGTATAGAGTTTTTGTTCACTTATCTTGTGCTGTGTGCTCCTCATTCCAACTGTTCTGTAACTAGTGATGCAACACGGAAATTTGGTTTTCTTTCATGTTATTTAAAGTTAGAAATTAGTCAAAATGTTATTTATTTTACAGTACGCTCTTTGTCTACTGAGTCAGACATTTATGGAGAGCTATTTTATTGTGTTTGCAAAGACCCTTTTACACTGAAAAAAATTATGAAATTACTTTAATTTACTACCCTCTTTAAATTCTTGATTCTTGAATTTTTCTTGGAAGTGTATTTTGTTTTTGTTTTTTTTAAAGTGCCAATGGACCGAGGTATAAGAGTATATTGCATTGGCAGTAGCAATGTTTATTTCATTCAAAGTGAATTAATTTTTATTTATTTTATAGTTTTGTTAAAATTGCAAAATTCAATCTATTATTTAATCATTTCTTTAAATTATGTAAAAGTATGATATTCAGTTGTTCCTTTCCCCCTTTTTTTGATAATATTCTTTTCACATAACTGAACTGTACTGTTGTGTTGTAGGCCTGCACCCGCGCCCAAGAAGAAACCCAGCAGCATCTTCTCCTCTTCCAAGGCTGCGTTTTCTGACAAGAGCAACGACAGCGGTGAGAAATCCCTGACCCCTGCTCTCTCTCAAATGCATTTATTTAGTTTGCATTCTTCACTTTGGCATTTCCACATTCGCAGACGGATCGCGGTCGGACAGTGACGACGGCGACAGGGGGATATTCTCCACTTACTCCAGTTATTCTAATTCACCAGCCAAAAAAGGTAATCTACACAGTCCTTAATGTGGTTTGAATATGCCCCTGTTGTTAATTCAATTTTTGTATAGCCCTAAATCACAACAGTAGTTATCATAGAGCCATTGGTCCTTAGGGGGCAGATGACCAATGTCCATAAATGTTGATAAATGTTGTTGAATGTCAAGTGTTCTGGTTCATCATCACTGTCCTCAGACCCTCCTGCAATCGGCAAGGAAAAAGAAGCACAGTTGTGATCCACTGTGTCCAGCAGGGGGCAGACTACACACACACAGATGTAGCATGGCGACTAGAAACTTACTCGAGGGTTTTTCTCAATTACCTTTTATTTCTTACCTTAAAGTAACCAAGAAGCAGCCGGACACTGCGCCCAAACCCAAGAAGACGCCAGCACCTAAAGCAAAGAAGCCCGACAAGTCCATCTGGGACTCGGACTCAGACACAGAAGCCAAGAAGCCCAGCCCCGCGCTCAAAGGTAACGCCCTCTCGCCCTCTGGCTTTGGGGAGGGGGATTGCTGCTGCCTACGTCTGGCTTTTTGGGATAGACTTTGTGGTCCGTTAGAGTCTGTGCAGGATTTCAAACCATTAAAGCAACTCGAGAAGTCTGGTTCTTGGAATTTAGTATTTTTTGGCTTTTCTCACATCATTCTTATAGTCAACAACACATTTCGCAGCACAATTTATATGCAGAAAATTGAATATTACAAGATAAAAAGATAATAAACTAAACTGCTCAACCACAAGAAGAAAGACTTGCTTGTTCCATTGACAAATACTCAAACAAAATTCAAAAGAGCAATGTTCTGCCTTCTTTAAAAAGCTTTAACCATTAATGATTTATGGCAATTTTTCTCAGGTGAAATAACGTTCTTTACAGACACATTTAATCATATACGTTTAATTTGAAAATAAAATTGTAACCTCTGGTGGATACATGTTACTTGCATACAGCATTCTTATATCTGATGCTTCTGTTACCATATGTTAAACTCAAATTCAAGTGTTCCACCCCCCATATTGTGGATTCTTGTAGTCAACAATACATTCTGCACAGAAAATAAACAGACAAATAATAGATAAATAACACACTAATACAAAACTAATCTCTTTCTACCCAACCACAGGACAAAAGATACTTTCAATTGGCAAATGCTCAAAAGAAACTCAAATCCTTTTCTCAAATGTAGTTTTTATAATTGCTTATTGTTGGTCCCATTTTTGTGTGCAAAGAACTTAAAAAAAAAATCTGAGTTCAACCTCAAAAATGTTTGATTAATCGTGCAGCTGTATTCTGATAGCTGAGGATCTGGCTTGGTTTTTTGATGTATCATTCTACAGTTAAACAGCGTGTGTGAAACGTGTGTGTGTCCGCAGGAAAAGGCCGAGGGAAGAAGAGGAAGGGCTCTGGCTCCGAGGACGACGAGTACAACCCACTGAAGAAGGCCAACAAACCAGCAGGAAAGGTCAGCCCCCTCTCCACACCACACATCATCACATCATGTCACATTCACACTCTCAATGCCTTTTGTGCTCATTCAGAAAGCCAGAAAGGACTCAAAGTGACATGGGTAAGACCTGCAGTGCTGCTTTGTGCTTGTCCTAGCCTCTCTGAACCATTCATCGCAGGTCACTGGCCTGTATAGTGGATACAAACCTATCCCTAAGCTTTCCTAGTCTTTGTCCCCTGAATTAAAATATAAAAATCAGCCTCTAATGAAGATTTTCCCTGATTAGGACGTGATGCTCCTGCTGTAGCTCTCCTGCGTGTTGTGCTTATTGTGGATTTAACCTTTCAGCCTCTGGGTCTTTGAGTTCTTGTGTGTCTGCTTATGGCTGCTGAGATCAACTGTTCTGATTTAAAAAAATAACTACAACAAAATCTTACCAATAACTTGCGTTTGTGTGACATCACAACATTCCAAAGAGATTGTGGTGGAGGGCAGCTGACAAATATTTCCTGGTAATTATGATAACTGCCTCAAGTCAAACTTCTAGTTAGTTTAGCGCTAATTTATCTAATTCCAGGAACAATCCACATGAAACAAAAATCTCATAAAGGTATCTAAAAGTGGTATCAATATTCCAAAACATATGCGCACACATATATACACAATTTGCCAGGAGAATGGACTTTCAGACATGTAAACAATACGGCAGGTTTGCGAATCTAATCACTGTCAAATAAAAATATGTTGAAAATGTTGAAATATTTCATTTTTCAACATTTCTTTCAAATTGTATTGTTGTATTGCTCCTGCCCTCCACCTGAAGTACAATTTTATAACATGAACGCAACCTATTGAGCCAAAGACTTGGACTTAAAGTGTAGGAGCTTGAGAGCAATTTCTCCAACATCTCTAGGTGAGTATTGTCTATTAGCTGTGGTTAGCATTTCAGTGCAAACTCTCAGAATAAGGCCCCTTTAACGGAATTGCACATCCTAAATACACATGACTGAATATGATCCAAATGGTGTGTTTCTGCATCAGTCTGACCTTGGTGTCTTTGTCTTCAGTCTAATGTATCGTTAGAACCATAAGTACAGTACAGAGAGCCTTAGATTTGACCTGAGCGCGGCTTTTTGGACTCACACATTATTCACAATCTTCTAAAGGTGTAGCCACTGTCCCGACGGATGAGATGCCTAATCTTTAGACCTCAAATTGAAAACTATAGAGCTGGGAGATTTCAAGAGAAATTTAACTTTAAAACTAACTCAAATGACAGCAAAAGGTCTGAAAGTTTATACCCGTATTTTTAATGAGCCGCATGGAATATGAAATAAGAGGTTTTGAAGAAGACATTGGCATAAACAACTTTTTTGTCACTTTTTAGACCCATCCATGCTAATATCAGGAACTTCTGGAACCATCATGTATCTCCGCCCCTTCTCTCTAAAAGCTCCTGTCTCAGCGCTGTGATACTATGATGACATGCTTTTTAAGATAAAAGTATAATACATTATTTTGGCAACACCACACATGGCTGTGGTTTTATTTTATAACATTAAAATGAATCTCCTCCCTCTGGTGGTTACATAGGGAGTTGCATGCATATAACATTCTTATCTACCTCTGAATATTATTTCAAAAAGTGACACCATTTAATATTTCTTCTTTTTAGGTCATTCCAGATTTTCAATACACATTGTTTAAAGAGCATTATACAAACATTGCCCTTTAGCCAAGTGCTGCGTTGTTTACATTTTCCATGGCATGTAATTATTAGCTAGATAATTCGAACTATATTATTCATTTAGAACAAATGTCACAACAAAGATACACATTTAACTTCTTGCCACTTTCCAATAACATCATTAGAATATCATCCTAATATATAAAGTATCTCCCATCTCTATCCTCTGCCGCCATCACTACAGTTTGAACACCAGATAATTGTATATCCTCAATCAAAGCCTGTTGAAGATTGTGACATCATCTGTGCCGCCCGGAAAAACAACTGCCCCTTTGTCTAAACCGCTAGCCTAAAGCCCTCTTCCAGCCCTCTAACCTTCTCCCTCACCATCTCCCTGTCCCTGCAGAAGCCCCAGAAAGCCCCCTCTGAGGACGAAGAAGAGGAGCGCGAAGAGGACCTGGACCACCACAGCTCCAGCCTCTTCAGCAGCCTGTCCAGAGGAACGGCTCGCGCCAAGAAGGAGGTCAAATACTTTGACTCGGACATTGACCCAGAGGACGACGACGACATGTTCGACTAAGCACTCCCACCGGACTTTTGTACATGCTCCATTCCCCATGAATTTTATTGTACGGTGATTTTTATGAGTATTATTATTCTATTTGACATTTACAGTTTGTTTTTTAACGCCCATTGAATTGTTCTGTGTTTTTGTCTGAATGCAGCTTTTAGGAGTTGGCTAGCTCGGCATATTTACCTGTTAAACTATTGTAACTTTTTTGGACACAACGTTGAGCTAAGCGATAGTCTGTCGTCTTCAAATGTACTTTGTATAGTTTCATGAACCGGAAGAACTCATAGAAGTTGTGTAGTAAAATAAACACCCAATTATTTATACACCCCGCCTCACTGACTCATGTTGCTTTTACCATAGTGCATTCAAATTCTCATGGACCAACTTATGCATCCTACTCTACTCGGCCCTACTCTACTTGGTTCTACTCTACTCGGCTCTACTCTACTTGGTCCTTCTCTACTTGGTCCTTCTCTACTTGGTCCTACTCTACTTGGTCCTTCTCTACTTGGTCCTTCTCTACTTGGTCCTTCTCTACTTGGTCCTACTCTACTTGGTCCTTCTCTACTTGGTCTACTTGGACCTACTCTACTTGGTCCTACTCTACTTGGTCCTTCTCTACTTGGTCCTACTCTACTTGGTCCTACTCTACTTGGTCCTACTCTACTTGGTCCTTCTCTACTTGGTCCTTCTCTACTTGGTCCTACTCTACTTGGTCCTTCTCTACTTGGTCCTACTCTACTTGGACCTACTCTACTTGGTCCTACTCTACTTGGTCCTTCTCTACTTGGTCCTTCTCTACTTGGTCCTACTCTACTTGGACCTACTCTACTTGGTCCTACTCTACTTGGTCCTTCTCTACTTGGTCCTACTCTACTTGGTCCTACTCTACTTGGTCCTTCTCTACTTGGTCCTTCTCTACTTGGTCCTACTCTACTTGGTCCTTCTCTACTTGGTCCTACTCTACTTGGTTCTACTCTACTTGGTTCTACTCTACTTGGTTCTACTTTACTTGGTCCTACTCTACTTGGTCCTACTCTACTTGGTTCTACTTTACTTGATCCTACTCTACTTGGTCCTACTCTACTTGGTTCTACTTTACTTGATCCTACTCTACTTGGTTCTACTCTACTTGGTCCTACTCTACTTGGTTCTACTCTACTTGGTTCTACTCTACTTGTCCCTACTCTACATGGTCCTTCTCTACTTGGTTCTACTCTACTTGGTTCTACTCTACTTGGTTCTACTTTACTTGGTCCTACTCTACTTGGTCCTACTCTACTTGGTTCTACTTTACTTGATCCTTCTCTAATTGGTTCTACTCTACTTGGTCCTACTCTACTTGGTTCTACTCTACTTGGTTCTACTCTACTTGTCCCTCCTCTACATGGTCCTTCTCTACTTGGTTCTACTCGACCTGGTCCTACACTAATTGGCCCTACTCTACTTGGTCCTGTTCTATTTGGCACCACTGTACTATCCAGGCCAAGCTGGTTCTAAGTTGTTCAAGAGCAGAGGTGGGAATCTTTTGGTAAATTTCTAGAAAGTTTCCAGAATATCTTCATGGTAACTTTGGACATCTTCAATAATAAAAAAAGAAAAAACCCTTCTCCTCCAAAACATCCAACATTAAACATGCTAGCTTATTTAGGAGCAAGAGCAGAGCAGGATTACTATTGCAACAACACATCATCAGTAGGGTAAAACTAACACGACGGTCTAATCAGCTTCTTATCAACTAGATTATTACGTTTGGATTTACAATTTCACATTTTTATCAATGTATTTCCCCTCATTATCATCAAAACACAGGCTCAAATGTACCTTCTGTGTTTGGGGCTCAAAAGTGTTGTCCAGTGTTCCAGAAATCGTCTGTATGCGATTCAAGATATTTAAGATTATGCAAAAATATACTTTACTCAACTACGGTATTTTGAAGTTCCCTCTGAAGAACCTTAAATATAAAAAAATCCCAATCCATTCTTGTTAATTCACACGGAAAGTTTCCATCTTCCTAAAATGTTGCAACCCAAGTTACATACCCCAGCTTTAACTTCATGCATGCTGCCACGACTTAAGAATAAGATGTTCCTTTGATCGTCTCACAGTGGAGAAATTTCACTGTCAACGTTGCGCACATTGCAGCAGAGAAAGAAGAATTTAAGAGCACTCAGATTGCACACATCAAATTGAGTCTATTATTTAAAGATCTAGATAGACAATATGATTAAAATAAGAATAAAATAAAATCAACTCTGGAGCTATAATTGCACTTGGTTCAGAAGTATTTACAGATGCGTTTATTGTACTTAAGCAGCGGAGAATATGAGAATTCAGAAATAATATCATCAGGTAAAGTGACTGGTGAATGGCAGAAATATCAGATGGATATGTAATGATAATAAAAGGTAAAGTGACTAGTGACAAAGTTACTAGTGAATTATCAGTGACACAGCAGTTCTCGTTACACATTCTCGTTGTACAGCCTGACAGCAGCACCCTATCACTGTGCATGTGTGTAATATAATGGCCCACAGTGAATGAAAATCCCAGACTTTTAAAATAAATATATTTTATTACTGTGCCAGGACAGGTCATGGTAAAGTAGACAACATAAAAAGCGTATGTTAAATGTACAAACAGATGGTTTTTATTACAAGGCTGTAAATTACACCACACTTTGACTTTTACTAACGTTTGCGCGGCGGCCGATCACCCGGCGAAAACAAAGCCATTTCTGACCCAGGACGGACGTTCAAACTGCACATTATTACTTATTATTGCTTGTAGTAATGTAGTAACGGCGGCACGGTGGCTGAGTGGATAGCACTCTCGCCTCTCAGCAAGAAGGTCCTGGGTTCGAATCCCGGTCGGACCAGGGCCTTTCTGAGTGGAGTTTGCATGTTCTCCCCGTGTCTGCGTAGGTTTCCTCCGGGTGCTCCGGTTTCCCCTACCACTAAAAATATGTCCAATAGTTCTGGCATGCACCTCCTGTACTGGCGACCCCGCTCCCATCTCTGTGTGGAGTGAGAGACAAATGCCCAAAAATTAACAATTGTAAACCGCTTTGAGACTCAGATCTGCAGTGAAAAGGCGGTATATAAATAAAAACTTACTTACTTACTTACTTACTTACTAAAAGTGTTTGTTTTCAATCACTAAAAATATCAAATTGAAAGTCAGCCATATTGAATACTTTAAGTCTTGCCCATATGCGTATTAGCGACAGTATTCACACATCTGAAAATATTGAAAAGTTTGAAATAAAGTTCATGTAAATTGTTAACTTTGCACATAAGAAAAAAATACAATAATACAAAAAATCAGTTCAAACGTTTCCACCTTTTCACCAACAGCGGCCGGTTGATTGTAGTTGATTGATTCCTGACCGCTGATTGGCTAAGAAGTGGCTTTGTTTAACGCTGGAATGAAATTTTAGCCAGTAAGAGCTGAGGTTACGTGTGTGTTGTGTTAACGCCACAATACAAAACATTTCAGCCACTAAACGGACTTGAAGAAATCCAATTTATTGAGTTATAGTGCTCAGACACACATTGGGAAAGCAGTGTGTATATGCCCGCCTCTCCCCATACCTGATTTGCAAAGATGGCTGCATCAATTTCTTTAAAGCTAGGGTACTGGACTTTTTCCACAATAATTTATACCACAACATGCTGTTATTTTTGTAAGAAAGATCCACTTAAGTTACTGTTTGACTTTTTGGGCTGAGAGCTGATTGGCTGAGTGAGGGAAAAAAATACATGCATGTAAAAACTAGTTCCCCACTCTCAAAACAATTTGGGTCTATAACTAGTTTTTTAAATGTATAAATATTCCCATTTTTGGTGGTTTGAAAATTGGGTACCCCAGCTTTAAATCATGGAAAAGCGAAGGCATTTGATAGAGATAAATTCAAGGTCTATAAGCTTTACATTTGACGAAAAGCACATTCAATTCGGGAGATTGTGTGGCATTCATTGACGCCTTTTGAAGATCCAATTGTAAAGAATAAATGCATTTGCAAATATCCACATGGAACACTCAAAAGGGATTTCACGCGTGCTCCCAAAAGTTTTTTCTCTAAACGGTTTGAGATTTCACCAAACCTGGAGCGACTCTCATTGACAGAGAGACAAGCCAAGTCCCGGTTTGCTTTTCACTGATTTCTGAGCCACACATCTCACTATACAATTATTATTATAAACCAGGTGTTTCCAACCTTTTTCTAGTCAGAGCTGCTGTTTCAAAAACCTGTTCATAAACTTGGCTCTGACTAATCTGATCATAGTCCTGTGTATGTCCCTGCTCTTCCACGTCTCTCTCTACTGTTCACATAAACACACAGAGAAGCAGGAATATGTGCTACGTTATTAGCTTTACAGATTAACAGCTGAAAGAGCTTTGTCCAAATCTCTTCTTTACAAAATAGAAATGCCAAATACATTAACTGCATTGCTATAGCTTAATATTAAGATTTCATTTTTTGTTATCTTAATTCTTCTAACGCCTCATTATTTCTGTATTTTGTCTGCAGTGTTGGGGTATAGTGGGATGCCAATAAAACAGTAAACATTTGTGACTCATATAATGAAATATTCAGCAAATCTGTACTTTGTAAAATCTTTTGGGGGAGCTACTTAACACTAGCATGCCCAGGGCAGTCAATTTGACGGTTTTGGAAGTTTAACTACTCATCTCATGTACGTTCTTGGTCTTCTGAACTTTGTGACTTTCTCTGTCTCTACATGTAGTTCATTTCTATGTCATTATTTTTGATCACATTTTCTTTTACTTTTGAAATGAGAGTAGTTTTACCAGTACCACTAGTTACCATAGCGACATAAGGTTTACTTGCTACCAGTTAGCATTTCATAGCCTTTCAACAAACTGCTTTTTCTATATTCCAATTTTAACAGTTAGTAAAAGCGAGTACAGGTAAAAAAAATATATAGATATAAAAAAATTACTACTTTATATAATACAGCTGTCAAAAAACTATGCATTTT